TTCCAGGCGGAAACTTTCATAGCGAATTGGTGCCAGCAGGTCCGATACTTAATTTTAGCAATGAATAATATTTGTTGTAAAATCGATAGGTACTTTTACAAACATTAAAAAGGCTCTTTGATGCTTGACAGTTGATTAAATATGTACACATAAACTACATAAATTTTAAGCACTTAATATGAAATATTGGAAAGGGGATACACCATTACAAACTTTGAGTCAGCACAAACAGGTATAGAATATTTCATCGCCTTACTTTGAAATGTCGCTTCATGTATCTTGAAAGGGGCAAAATGCTTGCGACCTTCAATATTATCTTTACAGTGTATTGAACAAGTATAGTTAACGCGTGCAGACTTTGTGACTTTACCACTAAAATGACGATTTTTGCCTCGTTTGAATCAATCTGCTTTATTTAATCGCCTGGAATTTAAGCCACGCCCACAGCAGCAGGTGTTCGACGTTAGAATGTTTTCATGTGCTCTTCGTTTCAATACATAAACAATAACGAAAGATACAAATACAGTTTCACTTTATGCACCCCTTTCAGAATAAAGCTCCGCTCTTGCAGTGGGAAAATTCTAAAGTGGATCCATTTAAAAAAAGCATGGTATTTGTCACAATCGGATTAAACAACTCATACCCCAACCGGCAGGCTTGACAAATTTAGGCCTAGCCAAATTGAACATTTGGGCGGAAATATGACGTTTGAAAATTCAAGAATGTTTTAACTCATGTCTTAGTTTATTTCAAAGCAAGGACAAAGGATAATGAATGATTTATATAGTTCTACAAAGTTATTTATTCTTTGCACCCCATTTTTAAATCAAGCTCCGCCCAAATCGGCTAGATTTAACAATCTAAGACCATATCGGCTGTTTCCTTTACCACAATTTGGGCTAAAATAATCGGCCTAAGGAGCTCCACTATTACCCAGGATATATGCATGTACAGTTCTATTCATGTAGGAAATATTATGCAATATATTCAGTATATAAGTTAATCAAACTTTTGCATATTTCTCTTCTGGACAGGTTGTTTCGATCGTATCGTTCTTATGTAACTTTATCCGATTTCCCCCCATTCTTAAGTAGCATTTTTGGTATCATAGGGTCAATCGTAACCCTTTAATCCAGAAACGGAACTTGTACGCGACATGTTCATTTAATTCATATTTTGATTTTCATTTGACCTTGGTCATCATCAGACCCAGGGCAGCTTGGAAATGGCCATTTCCGAAATACCCCAACCGACAATGGCGTGGTGCTATCAAACATTTTGAGTTGAAATTGTTAATAAGCTCACGGACTATAAGAGTTAAATGAGTTTGTGGTAGGCCTATGTTCTTTAATTTTTTAAACAAACTCCTCTTTTTTCTGTTCTAAAAAAACATATTAACAACTTAACCGGGCAATGTCCAGAGAAATAGTGTGCCTGATCAAGTTCCCTTTGAACTCAACAATCGCAAATCTCTAATTGTTTTTTTTTTTAACAAACTCGACGCCGAAACGGCATATTTGCATGCAGGTACATGTAATTGACGAATCGTAAGCACAATACACTCGTGCGACATACGTATCATTGAGGTAGACAGAATTATATTTTTCTTATGCTGAGAAAAAAATTACCATATGAATTAATGCACTGCAAACATGGACTACACATTGCAGATACCAACAGTTAACTTTTGTGCGTGTGTAGTCATGTATGAAGACCAGTCTCGTACAGTTTGCCTGTACTGTACTGAATGGTACTAGGCAGGCAATGGCAACGATTTAGGAAATATCGGTTAACAACTAAATGGCTTTTCCCAAACACAAACGATTAACGGACTGATATAAAAACAACTATCATCTCAAAGTAATGACGGTTAACAGCAATAAAATGATAATAACGGATAGAAACTGATATTTACTCAGTCAACAATATATTTTCATTAACTTTTCATCATATTGAACGTTCCTTATCTGTAAAAAATATATATATATATTCCGGGAGAGTTGACTGACTTACCAGTTGTTGCTGGCCGAAGGGCTGAGGCGCAGCCACGTAGGCAGGTGGGGTGTTGTTAGCAGTCATCATCGTGACAGAAGTATCTCTGGATTCTCTGTAATTCAATATTTGCTAATGTTTCATACATTTGAATCGGTCAAAAGAGTCGGAGTAAAACACTTTTTGTTTGGGTAAATATGTTCCAGCTCCTATATTTGAGTGGTAAAGAAGTAGGCCTATCTACTGTAAGCGTACAAACGTGTCTCTCTCGTAAGGCGCGAATAAAGACCTGCTTTCCTTCTGTCTACGAGGTTAAATTTAATGGCAAAACAAAGTGCAAAACAAAGTGCAAACAAACGCAATCGTTTTACCTAACGCTGGAGGGCTCCTGTTTCCTCAATCGTCGTCACTGCGTAGCACGGCGTACTGTACACAGCGCTTATCGACTGGGATTGTCGGGCAATATTATTGCACACCATTACGTCATATTCTAAATATAGCTTTGCTCGGTGGAATAAAAGCGTCCTACCCTCCTTCTCACGGTCAGCTATGGCAATGGTGCGGGTGTGTGATACAGAAAGGGTTCTGTGTTGTAACCTCTCATTTATTTCAGCTCTCATTTGATACATTGTAAAAACCGTAACCTATGGGGCAGCACTTCCGCGGGTGCAGTACCCATGCCCAAGAAAATACATGCGCATTCAGTTGGTGCTGCAAGTGTACTTAACCACAATACTTTTCAATGCACTCATTTCCTACATTGGTAATTTTTGAGACACTGTGCTCCTTTAGAACGGTGGGACCGAGCAAGGAGTATAAAGGCAGGCCACAGGTCGTAGACTGGTGCTCTGTCCCTTTACTAGTCTAAGCAGTAAGCCCAGGTCTCGATATATGTATCCTCGAGTCACCATAATCGGCGCAGGACACGCTTGCAAAGCGCGCGCGTTATCCAACGCAAATTGAATGAGAGTGCGTCAAAATAGATCCTCGTCGTTTAGGTGGACTGACGATACATTAATAATAGGGTAAGAAAGTACTCATTTTTTTTTGTACGCAACACATTTACTCAGCAATTTTTGACACTTCTTTTTAGAGTGATCGATAGTAAAGCAGTTCTTAAGGAATTACTGTCTGCTGATGTTACCCGACAATTAAGTCTCAAAAACTAAAACGAATACATAGTAAAAAAAATAAGCTGGAAAAACAGTTATCTGCACAAACATACAAATCGTAAGTAATAGCTGTTTCTCTAAAGATATGGTCAATAAACATCTGTAGTGATGACATCACACTTTGTGCTTTCTTTTGGGAGCCTGGTGAGGACGACGTTTTTGTAGCTTCATAGAAAAGCACACATGTAAACAAAGTGTGACGTCATCAGAAGAGACTTATTTCTCATGGATACATGATAGCATAATTATATTTTCTTAGCTGATTATATATGTACTGTTTACAGTAGACAAATCTGAGTAATCACTTTCGTCTTTGAATCTACAAATAATGAGTAGACCAAAGATCTAAACAAACAAAATCAAAAACGAACAAAAATTATGGCGCATAACGCGTTCTAAAACTACATTGGATAAAACTTACGATAACCGTAACAGAATTAATGGCAGAATCTTTTCGTATTTCTGAGTTTTTTATGACAAGTACATTTAGTTTTCCATTCAGCATGAAACCAAAATTCTTGCAGACAAGGTGCCGGTAATATAGTGGCATGTCCATCAAAATCATGGAGTGGGAGGGGTACTTAAACACTCTCAGCCCTTCCACTGGATTCGGTAATAACTTGTAAATTCAAGAGGTGTAGAGATATTACTTTTCATTTCTTTTTAAAATTTGCATTATACGCAATGTTTATCGCATCTTTATGCAACGGCCCTAATATATTAGAATGGCTGTGATTACTGTGATCCACAACTATACCGCTTTGAGCTCCGGGCTAGGGCCCCATCTCCAAGTTTGGGTACATCATCATTAAAAATGTCTTTTTAATGGATGACGAGCTGGATCGTCAGGCGTCAACTTTCAGCAGCTTTGAAGTCCATAGACCCAATATTGGCGGAGAAAAATGCGATATAATATGCGCTACAATTGGTTTGCCGAGTTTCTCTCTCTGTGTTATTTTTCAGTTGACTGTCCCTCGGAGGGCCTCGGCCCGCGCACACCTGGAGGTCTAAAGCTCGAACTAGAGTATCTTTTCAGCAAAAATTCCTAACAAATTATACATGGATGGATAGCTGGATAGGCATGCAACAACCTCCAGCACATGCATGGGCGTCGCCAATATTTTTTTCTAGAGGGGGGCGCAAAGCACATTTGCCCCCGAAATCCCTGTACTTTTCCAGCATATGCTCGAATTATCATTTTTCGAGGGTGGGCAAATTCATTTGGCCCCAACCCATGTAATTATAAGAGCAATATGACTTGCCAACTCTTTTTCTTTCTTTTTTCCCCTTTTTTTCCCCTCCACCTGGCGACGCCCATGCAACAGCAAGTTTGGAGCCCGAACACTCAGTACTCGTGGAGACAATTCGATATACGCTACCACTATTTAGTTTTACTCTGTGTGTATTACTGGCAACATACCCACACTTTGAGAAGTAGACCTCCAGTAACTAATTTTTCCAGGAATTGTTACTGAAAGATACCAACAAATCGAGATGTACTAGGCCTCCAGGTATGCGCGGGCCATTTTTTAATGAATCATTTAGCATTTGATTAAATCTAGTACACTTATATACTCGTCATGTACTATTTATTTGCTAATGAATTAACGAATAAGAAAAAAAACCAAAACATGTAGGCTCTTCTATAAAATTGAATTTGCAAGAGCAGACAGCATTGAACCTAATACCATACCTCTTAATCCATTCTATGATGTATAAATGCAAATAGCTAAATGTACAGCCACATAACAATGTAATAGCCATATTTGAATCCTGTTTGTTGCAAGGTTCCAAATGTCATAATTCCGTGTGGTCAAAGGTCATCGATGATCCAATTCAGTTCCTGGTGGCCTTACTGGCCGGTTGGGGTGCTTGAGCCTGCAGATACTGCCCCTGCTGAGCTGGGTGGCATACATTAAAAGAAGAAAAATGGATGAATGAAGTTTTAAGGACGAGTCGACCAGAACAGGTTGTTATACTTTCTTACACACCAGCAACAAAAAAGTAATAGGTATTGACACCATGAAGATTTCAAAAAACCTAAAACTAACAGCTTAGCAAAAAATTGCATATGGAGAGCCCACAAGCCTCACAGTTTGATTTTATTACAATAGGGTAACTTTGAAATATTCCAAAGAAAACGAACCAAAAAGGCTATCATGAGAGAGACCACAAGCCTCTCACTTTGACATCTGATCAATATTACTATTATTCTTAAAATATTTAAAATGACATTACTTACCAACTCGGTGCTGGCCAGCGGAAATGTTGTAGAAGGCCGGTCCCTGGGGCTGTGTGGTAACCACCATTTGTGGTCGAGCTTGGTAGTGGATCTGTTTATACCAAGAAAATTCGTTTTTTTTTTTAGCGGACAGTTTCTTAAAATACATATCACAAGAGTGAACTATTAATTTGTTTCAATTGATCAATCATTCTCGAATTAATTGATGTCCATGACATTTTCTCTCATCGTCCATACATACGTTGTCCATACAGTTTGTTCGCTGTGACATAAATTGGGGAAAAGCGATTACAAAAAGAGTATTTTTTCCTTCCACATAAATCAGGTTTTACGCTTCAGTGCCTTAGTCCATGACGTGAAACGTAGGATAAGTAGATTTACAACAGGATAAATTTGAATAGCTTTCTAATGAGGGCAGACGAAATGGGTAAACGTTATACCTAGCGTCTCAAGTGGTAATAACTTCTTGTGTATACACCATACGATACCTAAGTTTTAACTCAAGCTTTCCACTGGAGTTTGTCTCTAAATCCTCTCTTATACACCATGGTATCATAAACTTTCGTAGTTTGCATTTAATAGAGACAATCACAAGTCTCCAAGTCCCCCTTAGCCTTCTTAATGTTATCACATATACAAGTCCCAAGTCAAGTCACAATTTTGTGACAAATAAGGCATTTCAATATGCAATAAATGGATTACACCCCTTATGAATGGTACTTGTGAATCGATGCTTATTCTTGACGGACTTGTGCCAGACTCAACTACAAAATCGGAGAAAATTTATAACAGTGCAGATACAGAGGACATCACTTGGTGTTATCACAACACGGTACGTACCACAGTCTGAGTTGCTGATTCACCACTGCAGAGGGGACCACAGGTCATGCTGGCACCCACGATGGCGACAATAAACTCCACTATGGCGAGAAGTATCAGTGTACCATAAACACCATTATACGGCCGGCTGCATAAGAATCATCCAAAGAGATATATATTGCTGACCTTCACACTTCACGGGTACCCCACACTCGAACATTCTTTGTGGTACGTGTCTTTTCCTCGTGTGAACATCTAGGTAATTTTCAAAGTCTTTTTATTTCATCATAAACTTTGAATCACAAATTGCTGTTTAGAGAAACTTTATATAAAAAGCGGTGTAAGCATTATTCTCAATCAATTAAACTAGCATCTCAATAGTAAAATCAGGAACGAAGGATTCGCTTACAGATAACAAGTTAGAAACCTCGATCAATGTCAAAGACAGAAACAAGTTTGGAAAAAGTCATTAAAGTTATTAAAGCTTTGCCCACCTTCAAATAACAGCCGTCTGGATAGTACACATCAACATCATGGTAATAATAACTTCCGTAAGGGTAGTAACGCGGAGAGCAGATTGAATTGAGGGCGAGCATCCAGACAACCGCAAAACCAATGACGCAACATGTCGCCAGACAAGCCAAGATGGACATGACCATGTAGCCGATAGCCTGTGCAGAAAATCACAACTCCTTAAAATCGTTTGAAAATCGTTAAACCATAATATCTACATAGTTGTAGTATCGTACTCGTTAGTCGGCATTTGCTATTCTGAGGATTTTTACTTAAAGGGAATATACATCATTTGCTTTTGCTGTAATTTTCAGAAATGGATGGAATTGGGGGGTTGGAAATATATAGCAAATATAGTTACACTGACTTTTTTGAGGTTTTGGGTTCGAAAATGCTATAAAAACCAAGAAAAACAATCATTTTCCTGTAGTCTGGTTCCCTGACTCCATATAAGAAGAAACAGAGCAGTTTACATACATTGGGGAATTGTAAGGTCAGGGAACCAGTCTAGCTGGCTTGTACACGTTCATAGGTGTGTAATCGATTGCCATCAAGTGCGATGATCAATTGGGGCCAGTATTTGAAAAAAAGCCAGTGTTTTCCAACGCTGGTCGGCCGACCAGCGTTGGAAATTGATACAAAAATACCACTTTTCTTGAAAATGACAGTATACCAGGTGCCATGATTTTACAGGATGCTTTACACTGTCATTCACTAACAGTCCAGCAAGGTATTTCAAAATGATATGGTAGTTTTATTTTTTGATTTTTGCAAATGTTGTATTTTCCCTTTAAAGGAAGCCAAACTCTATACCCACACTACAAAGCACGGTAAGATATATCAATTGCTTACCACTCCGGAATTCTTCTTAGATCCAGACACCATGCCTAAGATTCCAGCGACGACATAGAACTATACACAAAAACAAATGATGCTAAAGTTCAGGGCCTATACATGCCATTGTGCTACATTTTGAATGCATTATGCAGCAGTATAAACACTCAAACAACCGCATGATCATCGGCAATTTATTGATGCCCAAAGAGTCTTTGCTGAGGGACCATCACAAATTAACTTGCCCGACAGGAAGGGAACATACAGTTTAGGAGTTCAGGCAAAGCTACATGCTACACTTTAAATGTACATGTGCAACAGGGGTATAAACTCTCAAACAACCATCTTCGGCACGGTATTAGACACCGTTAAAGCATAAACCTTCCCAGAGAGTGCGAGACAACTTCAGACGTCTGTGAGGACACATACTGGAAGTGTCTATTGCCTCACATAGTGTCATTATACACCGTATAACCATTTCGTGTGCAGACGAGTCAAGTTCTATTTTGTGACATCATTCAAAACGTCGTGCGTGTACAAAGCTTTTCTTCTTTCTAAGAGAAAAACGATTGCCCGGTGGAAACATTCCGCTACATCTCCTCTTGCCGCACAACCCCTTTCCTTATAAAATGACTACACAAAGGTGGCAGACTAAAAAAAACAAACGAATTATATGTTAATTAATGTGTTATGAGTGGTAATAAGGTACTGCACCGCACCACACTGAACGAAACAAATTCCCTATCCATTCCAACCCAACCCAACCCGACCTGACCCGACCCGACCCGACCCGACCCGACCCAACCCAACCCAACCCAACCCAACCCAGCCCAACCCAACCCAGCCCAGCCCAGCCCAGCCCAGCCCAACCCAACCCAACCCAACCCAACCCAACCCAACCCAACCCAACCCAACCCAACCCAAGCCAAGCCAAAACCAAGCCAGCCCAACCCAACCCAACCCAACTCAACCCAACTCAACCCAACCCACACAAGTGTGTAAACACCTTCAATCGTGGACCCCTATTATCCATCTTTTGTTGTACATTACCTTTAAAGGTAGACCTCCCATATGTTTTGTACAAGCATGGGCAATTGTTGACCTTCGGAACCCTTTTATCCTCTATTGTTCAACATCCCCTATTAAAAAGCCAGCCTATCCCATCCATCCCAGCCCAGCCCCGTCGTTTTTTCGTAAACGACATCGGCATGGGGTGTACGCTATGGCGGTTTGGACTTCATGAACCATGTACTGCAGGTGTTGTTTGGAAAAAAATCGCGCCCAGTCCAGCCCAGCCCATCCCAGCCCAGCCCAGCCCAGCCCAGCCCAGCCCAGCCCAGCCCAGCCCAGCCTAGCCCTGCCCAGCCCAGCAAGCAAAACACACCATAACACAACATAAACATACATACAAAATACCTAAAGACCATCAAAATATCAATAAGCACTGTCTATAAACAAGAGGGCCACGGAAATAGTTTGTGGCATGAAATTGTTCATACTTACTAAGATACCACACCAAATTGGGGGCCCGAAGTCATTGATATACAGCGCAGGTCTAAATACTACCAGAGACACAACACCGCAAATGGCGGTCAATGAACCCAAAACCCCTTGAATTACTCCTGTCCATAGAATACCCTTCCAGTTACCACTTCGAGGCTGTGGAGCGGGTTGCACAGTCACCTGGGGAATGACACATGATAAGCGGTAATAGTGTAGAGCGACAATGATAATGCTACTAAAATGCTCGGTTATTTCATGAAAGAATGGTAAAGTGGGAATGTTATATTAAAGAGATAGTCCGGGATCTAGGCTCAATTAACAATCTGAGCACCAACGGTTTGATAACACCACGACATTAGGCCGTGTGTGTAAAAAACTAGCAAATGCTGGGAAGTTTAAGCAAAGAGTAAAAGCATTAACTTTGGAGTACAAGCATTAGGGAAAAGCAAACGCTTGATTCCGTATGAATAAAAGTTTTCCTTTACTGTTCAACATTTACTAGACAACAGGTAGCAAATGCTTTTTACTGTTGGATTGTTTTCATGGACGAATGATTGTCAACAGCGTGGTCTCTTTTGTGTGTACGAACTGCCACACACGGAGGGTTTACACGTGGGGTAATAGTCCAATTCAAGGTGACCGGTGATGCATACAGTACATGTAGTGCATTTGTTCCTCAAATTGAGCAGAAATCATGACACTTTTCGCCAGTTGCAGAATACAGAAAGTACACTTTCATCATTCATGAAAACTGTAAAGGTCCACACTGTGAACATTCCAAAGTGGATCCATCTCGTAAAAATATTTTCAGTCCTATTCAAGTTCAACCAGGCCTGCCGACTTTCACGGTTTTACCATGAAAATGCACGATATTTGTCACAATTGGATCAAACCACTCCTATACACCGCCTCTGGACAAATGTAGCCAAACATTGGGCGGAAATATGACGTTTGAAAATTCTAGAATGATATTGGTGTGGTGCTTTCAAACCTTTTGTGCTCAAATTGTTAATTAAACTCTGCCTAGCTCCCGGGTTAAGAGTTAAATGAGTTTGTGGTAGGCCTATGTTCTTTTTTAAAACAAACTCCTTTTTCTGTTCTGACATAAGCATATTAACAACTTAAAACGGGCAATGTCCGAGTTCCCTTTGTAACTCAATTATCGCAAATCTCTAATTGTTTATATTTTTTTTAATTTTTAACAAACTCGACACCGAAACGGCAAATTTCATACAGGTACATGTAATTGACGAATCATAAACACAACAACACACTCGCTCGACATGCATATCTTTGAGGTAGACAGAATTTTTTTGTTCATGCCGAGAAAAATTTCCATGTGAATAAACGCACTACGGACATGTACATGACAGTGCAAATAGCAAACGTGAACTTTATTTGTGCGTGTGTAGTCATGCATGACGACCAGTCGTGTACAGTTTGCAATAGGCAGGCAAGCAATATATGGGAACGACTTAAAAAATATCGGACAGAATGGCGGTTCCAAAACTCAAACGATTTACGGACTGATATAAAACAACTATTACTTCAAAGCGATGATGGTTAACAGCAATAAACTGATAATACCGGATAGAAACTGATATTTACTCATTCCAAAATATAATTTCATTAACTTTTCACCGTAGCGAACGTTCCTTTTCTGTAAAAATAAAAGAAGGCATTCCGGAATTGTTGACTGGCTTACCGTTTGTTGCTGGCCAAAGGGTTGAGGTGCTGCCACGTAGGTAGGTGGGGCGTTAGTAGTGGTCATCATCGTGACAGAAAGTATCTCTGGAGTCTCTGTAAATCAATCAATAAATTATTCAATCAATCAGTCTGTCCTACTCGTCAATATTTGCTAATGTTTCAAACATTTGAATCGGTCAAAAGAGTCGGAGTAATACACTTCTTGATTCGGTATTTATATGTTCCAGTTCGCATATTTGAATCGTGTCTCTCTCGGCAGGCGCGAATAAAGGCCTGCTTTCCTTCCGTCTCCGAGGTATAATTTAGTGGCGAAACAAAGTGAAAACAAACGCGATCGTTTTACCTTTACGCTGGAGTGTTCCTGTTTCCTCAACCGTCCTCACTGCCTGGCACGGCGTACTGTACACAGCGCATAACGACTGGGTTTGTCAGGCAATATTATTGCGCAACAATACGTCATATTCTAAATAAAGCATTTGCTAGTGGCATAGTAGCGTCCCATCCTCCTTCCCACAGTCAGCTATGGCAATGGTACGGGTGAGTGATACAGAAAGGGTTCTGCGTTGAAACCCTTTTTCAGCTCTCATTTGATAGATTCTGTATCTATCTGTATTGCTACTGCACAATCGCCTATGGTGGGGCTATCAAGTGCAGGTAACGCTGTCATGGTGCTGGGTGATTACTAAATTTTGAAGTGCGCATGGGTGGACAGTTGGCTGATATTAAACTTGTTTAGGCGGGTTTTGAAGGCATTCAGTGAGGGTTGGTAATAGTAGAGTCAGGTAGGAGGTTCCACTCAGGGATTGCCCATGGGTATAGCGAGTGGAGGTAGTTGTTTTTGTTTGACTGTATGCGTTGAAGATTTAAAGCGTTATTTGTTTGTCTTGTAGTACATCTGGTGATTAGCTGGTCACTGGGTAGATGAATTTGAAGGTGGGAGATATCACTTGGAATAATACCGTGAATTTCTTTGTAGATTGTGCATAGTCGAGCTCTGTTGCGTCTTTTATCAAGCACGCTGATGGTGTTCAATTGGTGGGGGTCCCATATGACTTGAAAATATTCCACCAGTCGAACAATATGCTATTTCTTTGGTGTGTTTATCACAGCTGGATAATGTTCTTTTGAGTAGACCGAAGGTTCTGTTTGCTTTGACTGCAATTTAGTTTATGTGTCTATTCCAAACGATTAAAACTTAACAAGACTGAAATCCTGTCTCGTTTATAAGACTTAAGGCCACTGTTATATTGAAGGCATCCCAGAGATGAAATTTGATATCAGCACTTTCAAATAAAGAACAAGAGATTTAGTGATGCCATCACGTTTTTCTCACATGTCAATACCAATCTACACATTTTAAAGAAGTGCCAATATTATGTTGTTTCAAGGGGCACAACATCCGAGGGATACAATATATATAGGACCAACAGTTTTGAGTAGATCATTTTTTTATTTATATAAAGTAGTTCTCAGTGTTTGCTGACACTTTACCAGACAATTAGGCCGTCGAAAAAAACTAAAAACAAACGCAAAGTCAGATATTACGGGGGAAAACAGTTTTCCGCACAAACATACAAATCGTAATAGCTGTTTCTTTGAAGATATGGTCAATAAACCTCTGTACTGATGGCATCACACTTTGTGCTTTCTTTTGGGAGCCTGGTGGGGACGACGTTTTTGTAGCTCCATAGAAAAGCACACATGTAAACAAAGTGTGACGTCATCAGTACAGAGACTTATTTCTCATGGATACATGATAGCATAATTATAATTTTCTTAACTGAATATACATGTACTGTTTACAGTAGACAAATCTGAGTAATCACTTTCGTCTTTGAATCCACAAATATTGAGTAAACCTAAGATCTAAACGAACAAGATGAAAAACGAACAAAAGATTAAAGCGCATAACGCGTTCTAAAACTAAATTAGATTAAACATACGATAACCGTAACAAAATTAATGGTAATATGTTTCTTTTCTTATTACTTATTTTTCTCATAACAAGTACGTTACGTTTTCAAGTCAGCGTCCTGGAACCAAACTTCTTGCAGAAAAGGTACCAGGTTATAGGGGCATGTCCATTAAGATCATGGGGTGGGAGGGGGTGCTTAAACACGCTCGGCCCTTCCCCTTGAGCCGGCAACAACTCGCCAATTCAAGAGGTGTAGAGATATTTTTTTTTTTTTTTAAATTTGAACACCCAATGTTTATCGCATCATTATGCATCGGCCCTAACATATTTAAATGCCTGTAGTGCATCATGATTAGTAACTAGTCATTGAATTCATATATAGACCCCTTTAAGCTCCGGGCTACATCTCGAATTTTGGGCAGCTTGTCAGAACAAATGTCTAGAAACGTTTAAATGGATGGCGAGCTGGATCGTCAGCCGTCAACTTTCAGCAAGTTTGAGGTCCATAGACCCAAAACCCGCGTAGCAAATGTGATATAAAATATGCTAAAATTTCTTTGCCGATTTTATCTCTCTTTGTATTATTTTCCAGTTGACTGGAAAATGCATAATTGTTTTGGACAATTTTACTGGCAACATACCCACAATTTGAGAAGTAGACCGCCATTAACAATTTTCCAGGAATTGTTACCGAGCGAATACCAAAATGTAGGCCTCCTGGTAAGCGCGGGCCATTTTTTTTTTAGTGAAGCAGCATATTAAGCACTTTTATTATCTGAGTACGTGTACTATTTGTTGCTACTGTATTAATAAAACAAACATATGCAGGTTCTTCTATTAAACTGAATGTGCAAGAGCAGCCAGGGCAACCTTAATGCAATCCCTTTTAATCCAGTCCTTTATGTATAAATGCCAATAGCTAAATGTACAGCCACATAACAATGTAAAAGCCAAACTTAAATCTTGTTCATTACAAAGTCATACTTCCGTTGTCATACTTCCGTTGGGTCAAAGGTCATCGACGATCTATTTCATGAGTTCCTGGTACTGTTGCTCACCGGTTGGGGGAGCTTGAGCCTGCGGATACTGCCCCTGCTGGGCTGGGCAGACTACATTAAAAGAGTAAAAATGGGGAAAATGGATGAGGTTTTAAGGATGAGACGAGCAGAGCAGGCTGTTATACTTTCTATGAACATGTACACATCAGCCCCAAAAAAGCAATTGGTATAGACACTATGACAATTTTTGTTACTAAAGAGTAATTTTGAAATATTCAAAAGAAAACGACCCTAAAAGGCTACATGGGAGAGACCACAAGCCTCTCACTTTGACATCTGATCATTATTACTATTGTACCTAAAATATCTAAAATGACATCCCTTACCAACTTGTGGCTGGCCAGCGGGTATGTTGTAGAAGGCCGTACCCAGGGGCTGTGTGGCAACTACCACGCGTGGTCGAGCTTGGTAGTGGATCTGTTAACACCAAGAAAGTGGAGAGTTTCTTAACATACATATCAGAAGAGTGAACTTGTTTCAATTGATCAAATCACGAATTAATGAATGTCCATATGACATTTTCTTTCTTTGTCCTAGCTTTGACCAAGGCTGTTCCCCACACGAGCTTGTTCCTACCGCACAGCGTAGGCTTATTGGTCCGGTACCCTTGTAATATACTTGGCACACCGCCGCCGGCGCCACGCGTCGTGCGCACTGTAGTACAGTTAGCCTCATCGACCGTTGCTTGTACTTTGTCTGCACGACTGTGCACATCCTCCCACACACATCCGTAAACAGCCATATGTGTGTACGGCTGTTTACGGATGTTTGTGTAGGGTGTACCGTACGCACGCAACTGTGTTTTTGGGTAGTTGTGGGGTACCACTATTGTCCACTTGACTTTCCTTCTTTTATTCTCCTTTGTTCCTATTGAAATCTTAAACTCCATAGCGTTTTACATATGGGATGCTGAGATTTTTAAAGACCGACTTGTAGGGTACCATTGTCCCTATCCGCGTGAGCTTGTCTCCAAATCCTCACAAACGCCATGGTCTGATAATCTTTCGTAGTTTGCATGGTGAATTATTCGAGACCATCACAAGTCCACCATCGTGTGCGTCGCCAGGATATTTTTTGTAGAGGGGGCAAAGCACATTTCCCCCCGAAATTCCTGTACTTTTCGAGGGTATTCTCTATTATCATATTTCGAGGGGGCCTGATTTCCCCCACCCATCAAATTAATATCAATATGACTTCGCGCAACGTTTCTTATTTTCCCTCTTTTTTTCTCCTTTTTACGGAGGGGAAATTAAGTTCCCCCTTGTCCCCACTCACGACGCCAATGTCCACCATGGATCTCCAAATGTGATCACAAAGCAATAAGTCCCAAATTAAGTCACAATTAGCATTTCGTGACAAAGGCATTTCAATAATTGATTACACCTTAAGTACTTGTGAATCGACTCCTGTCGGACCTGTTACTCTACTACAAAAGCGGTGAAGATATATAACAATGCATATACACAGGATATTACTCGGTGTTGTCACAACACGGTACGTACCACAGTCTGAGTTGCTGATCCACCACTGCAGAGGGGACCACAGGTCAAGCTGGCACCAACGATGGCGACAACAAACTCCGCTAAGGCGAGAAGTATCAGTGAAGCATACACACCATATACAGCATTCTGTATGAGAATCATTGCAAGAGATAATGTATTGGTGACCTTCACACTTCAAGGGCATCCCTCATATTTAAACCTAATTATTTTGTGGTACGTATCTTTCCCTCATGTACACATCTAGGTAATTTTCACTTTTTGCATCACAAAACGCTGATTATTATTATTAATCTAGCATCTCAAGAGTGAACCTAAGACGAAGGATTTGCTTAGAGATAAAAAGATAGAACCTCCATAAATGACGAAGGCAGGAACAATAGAGAAAACTCATTAAAGGTTATTAAAGCTATGCCAACCTGCAAATAACAGCCAACTGGTACATCTGGATAGTAGTAGTGGTGATAACTTCCGTAGTCGTAGTAACGCGGACTGTTGAAAGTGCAGACTGAATAGACGAAGAGCATCCAGATAACCGCAAAACAAATGACGCAACATGTCGCCAGACAAGCCAAGATGGACATGACCATGTAGCCGACAGCCTGTGCAGAAAATGAAATCCTAAGAATAGTCTTTCTAAAATCGTTTTGTTCATTATTGTAAGTGGTCCCAGGTCCGCAACGTGGTCAAAGGTTAATGTTTTACCAATAAGGTATGCAAGAAATTGTTGTAGGATTGTACTCGTTAGTTGTCATTTGCCATTCTGAGAATTTCCACTTTAAGAAAGCGAAACCCTATACCCACACTGCAAAGTAAGAAACTACTAACAATAGCTTACCACTTCGGAATTCTTCTTAGATCCAGAAACTATGCCAAAGATTCCAGCGAAGACGTAGAACTATAAAAACATTCAAGGCTGAAGTTCAGGGCCTATTCATGCAATTATGCTACATTTTGAATGCACAAAATTAATGCAGCAAAGGTATAACCACTCGAAAAAGTATCATCGATAATTTATTTGATACCACATCATTAACTTGCCCTTAAGAGTCTTCGCTAAGAGAACATTAATAATATATATATTTGCCCGGCAGGAAGGGAACATTCAATGCTGGAGTTTAGGTAAAGGCTACATGCTACATTTTGAATGTACATTTGCAGCAGGGGCATACCACACTCAAACAACCACACCCATCTTTGCTCACTCCTTTGTACCGTTTTAGCAACATGATCTCATTGGTTTCGTGCACGAATTTCAATCGTGGACTATCGGTCAATCGTGGACGTATTGCTTGTGCCCTAACCATTTTGTCCTAGGTCCACGATTTCGTGTGTTTACATACTCATGATCATTGGCAGGGTATTGGACACCACTGTAGCATTAACCTGCCAAGATAGTGTAAGACAAGTTCAGATTTCTGTGTAGACACCTAATGAGGCACCGCACCGCACCAAACGAAACAAAAACCCAACCCAACCATACTGGAATTTGTATCCTTGTGGAGACGTTCTTTTGTTCTCGTGTACTAAAGTTTTCAAGTTTAAAAGTGTAGTTTAAAATGCTCTTCAACCAGAATTAATTTCCTTGGCTGAAATTTGGACTTAATATCCCTTTTCTAAAACTCTTCTATTTGCGACTAGCAACATAGCTTCGAAATTCCTAGTTTTTGAGTAAAATCCATACATTCGTGAAAACCTTGTGGAGACGTATTCATCTATAAAAATTGCCCTGTGGAGACGAATACAATCTTTTGTTCCCTATTGTACACATGTCTCCAGAAGGTACGGTGTATCAGATCAACCCAACCCAACCCACACAAGTTTGTAAACATCTTCAATCGTGGACCCAACTTTCATTTGTACTTTATCTTTTAGGAAGACCTCCCGCGTATGTTTTATACACGATCGTCAATGTTGGACCTTCGGTAATTGTGGAACCTATTATCCTCCATTGTTCAACATCCCTTATTGAATCCAAAAACGAACCCAGCCCAGCCCAGCCCAGCCAAGCCAAGCCCAGACCAGCCCTGCCCAGCCCAGCACAGCACAGCCAAGCCAAGCACAGCACAGCCAAGCACAGCACAGCACAGCACAGCTCATGCAACCCAGCCCATCCAACACAACATAACACAACATAAACATACAAATAAAAAAAAAATTACAGACCAACAAAATATCAATCAGCACTGTCTGTTAACAAGACAGGTATAGAAATAGTGTGTTTCATATACTTACACAGATACCACACCAAATTGGGGACCCGATATCATCGACATTCAACGGACGTTTAAATACTGCCAGAGTTACAATTCCAAGAATGGCGGTCAATGAACCCAAACCAACTTGAAATATTCCTGTCCATTGAATACCCGTCCAGTTACCACTTCGACGCTGTGGAGCGGGTTGAACTGTCACCTTGGGAATGAAACAGAGGCTGGTTTGGTTGAGCGACAATGATAATACTAGTAAAACATTCGGTTATTTTATTGGAGAATGGTAAAGTGGGAGGGAGCTGGGTTCATTTAACAATGAGCACAAATAGTTTGTAAGCCCACCACACACGGAAGCTACGTGCTGTGCCAAAAGTCATTCGAGGCCGTTTGCTCAGAAAGTAGCTCACAAAATATCACCTTGTGCAGTCAAGTTTTGCTGAATATCAGCAAATTATCTCACCTGAAAAAGCTGCCCCCTGTTGGAAAAAAAGCCACCTTACATAATTCAGACTTTCCCCAAGGCCATATGCATGTATGTAATCTCAACAAAATTGTACTTGTTGACTTGTTGGGGGAGGCGTGGTTCTCTTTTGAGCTTTGGGAGTGGGGGTGGCAGGGGAAGGGGCTAGCTGTCAGGCGGCTGTTGGTGTAGATTGTAAAAGGTTCACTTGCAAATTGATATCTAGTATTTACAATTTAATTTAGGCAAATACATGCAGAAATCAAAATCTGAATATGGTGCCAAGGGAAGAGGCGGGGCCTAGCTGGGAGGGGAGGACTGGACATCATTTGAATAAAAGTGCACTTAAATCAGAGGACAATGGATATGGCCATTATCATTCATTGCGGCTTGCAAACACATGAGTTTTGCCCATGTGACAATGATTTTACCAACAATGCCAAGAAATTGGTGGGTGGTCACACCCCACCCTCAACGGTGAACCCCAAGCAATGCCCCCGGGGTGGGGGAAGGGGAGGCTGTGAAAAGGAAGTCTATGTTATTTCTAAAGTGTTCACTTGCATATTATTTATTTACATTTGTTTCGTTATGCAACATACAAGTTCAAACTTCGGTGGCACAGAGGGAGTGGGCGGGGCCTAAAGCCAGATGTGGGGGGGGGAGTACACGACTTACTATTCATCCACTGGTCTAAAAATGATACAAAATCTGATTCTGTTTGTGGAAATGTGCTAGATTCATGAACAATACCAATTAGAAATACAAGTTATTACTCAAAACAAAGGAAAACACTGAAAATACACTTTTTAAGGTTTTTGTGAAATTTACCATTTTTGGAGCGCTACTGCACAAAGGCTATACAATAACCCAAAATTTTCTAACCAGATATGAAAAGACCAATGTCTGAACTAACCATAGCCGAAGGGAAATTATTCTGAGTGCCCTGGCAAGTGCCATTTTGGAGGGATAAAAATGGGGTCAAAAATGCAATTTTGCTAGTTGTACCCACATGCTGTATTATAGGGCCTAAAAATAATATAAAGGAGATTTTTCAGAAGTGTAAGGGTAAGGATGATAGTTTGTCCTGATATAGTTACTTTTGTGACATTACTTTGCAGTTTGGCTTGATTTTTTGTTGCCTCAAAATTGCCCCAAAATGGCCAAAACACATAATGGCCCGTAACCATGGCAGCGGGCATTTTGGGAATTTTTTGAACGTGGACACTTATATGACGTATTTACACGAAATGACTCTTAACAACTTAGTCTGCCTAATCAAGTTCCCTTTGTAACTCAATAATCGTAAATCTCTAATTGTTTTTATTTTTAACAAACTCGATGCCAAAACAGCATATTTCATTGACGAATCGTAAACCAAACAGTACACTATACTAGCACGACATATTATCAGGGATGTTGACAGAATTTCATTTTTCTTATGCTGAGAAAAAAATTACCATATGAATGAACGCGCTACATACATGTACATGCCATTGCAAATACCAAACGTGAACTTTATTTGTGTGTGTGTAGTCATGTATGAAGACCAGTCGTGTACAGTTTGCCTGTACTGAATGGTACTAGGCAGGCAATATATGGCAACGTCTTACGAAATCTCGGTTAACAACAGAATGGCTTTTCCCCAACTCAAACGATTTACGGCCTGATATCAAAACGACTATATATTATTTCAAAGTAATGATGGTTAACAGTAATAACCTGGTAATAACGGATAGAAGTGATATCTACGCAGTACACAATATATTTTCATTTACTTTTCACCACGTTGAACGTTCCTTTTCTATGAACAAAATAGTCATTCCAGGAGAGTCGACTGACTTACCACTTGCTGAGGCGCAGCCACGTAAGCAGGTGGGGCGTTAGTAGGGGTCATCATCGTGACAGAAAGTATCTCTGGATTCTCTGTAATTCAATCAATCAATCAATCAATCAATCAATCAATCAATCAATCAACCGATCAATCAATCAGTCGGTCAATCAGTAGGTCAGTTGGTCTATCTCATTCGGCAATATTTGCTATTATTTCAAACATTCGAATCGGTCAAAAGAGTCGGAGTAAAACACTTTCGGCATCTATATGTTCCAGTTCGCATAATAAGAAGTAGGCCTATCTACTGGAAAAAAACTGTGGCTCTCGCAAGGCGCGAAAAAAGACCTGCTTTCCTTCCGTCTCCGAGGTATAATTTAGTGGTGAAACAAAGTGAAAACAAACGCGATCGTTTTACCTTTACGCTGGAGTGTTCCTGTTTCCTCAACCGTCGTCACTGCCTGGCACGGCGTACTGAACACAGCGGATACCGACTGGGTTTGTCAGGCAATATTATTGCGCAACTTGACAATACGTCATATTCTAAATAAAGCATTTGCTCAGTGGCATAAAAGCGTCCCATCCTCCTTCCCACAGTCAGCTATGGCAATGGTACGGGTGAGTGATACAGAAAGGGTTCTGTGTTGAAACCTCTAATCTATTTCAGCTCTCATTGGATACATTTGTAAAACCCGTAACCTATAGGGCAGCACTTTCGCGAGTGCAGCACCCATGCGCAAGAAAATGCATGCGCAGTTGGTGTTGCAATACTTTAGATACAATAGTAATTTTTGAGACAGGGATTATCAGACATGATGCGCCTTTGGAACGGTGGGAACGAGCAAGTACTAAGGCAAGCCACTGATACCCGTTGCCTTTGCTCTAGTCTGTCGAGCAGTAAGCCCGGGTCCCGAGGGAGTGTTTTAAATTACGCACTGGACTCGGGTAAATATAAAAGATTTTAAGAAACGTGAACGGAACTATGATTGGACATGCGGGGTTTCGTGGCTCCAATGCTATTTTGTCGAGACTTGACGAACTATTCACACATGGGCGTCGCTAGACCATTTTGAATAGGGGGCATCATGAAATATGCCGAAGGAGCGTCACGCAAAATGAGTGCAATAGATAATCGCACCGCCCAAATGATCCCTTTAACTCCATATCTAATTTTCTCCGTAAATATATAACGGTTAATTACAGTTATTACTTTGAATGTTATATATTTTCAGTGGGATAAATTCAACTTCTTCAAAAGTAAATCGTCAAAATGTTGCCCTATCCTGTTGAAAACTTTTTGGACAACTTTTGGACAGTAAGTTCGCTTGTTCAGGCCCGTCTCCTGATCCCAGACTGGGGGGAGGTCTTTTAATTCGAAAGTGGAACTATGTTTATGCGAGCACGGAATATTCTGGATTTTAGATGCTCTGTGGTATTTCCTGGCCATCAAAACTGAAGCTTGACTCTCTTTAGCAATTTGCCCTCTTTAACTTGATCCCTGATTTTGAGTCGTCACTAAAAAGTTGCTCAATTCGTAACTACCTTGTGGTTTCACAATCAGCTGTAGCTGTCAACTGCCATTTATGAAGCGACCCGCGCGGAAGCTCGTGCCGACATGACAAAATGAACAATCTTTTGCCATTATCTATTTCTTTTTCTTTTTTTCTCCATTCTTCATTTTCTATTTTGCCGACAGCACCATGAATTTGTTAACAAAACTTACTAAGGGGGGGGGGGGGGAGCGGGACATCCCCCACACCCTCCCCTGTAATACTGCCCATGTCCTCACAATATAAAAGAGCGAGAACATGAATCGAATGCAAATTTGAGCGTTTTAAAACTCTTTATTAACCTCATTTTTAGTTTTACGATAGAAAAAAAAACATGAAGAATGATTAAAACTAAATGTGATATCCTGATTTCATTTTAAATGACCCTTCCCTAATGAAGTTTCTTCAAATTAGAACGTATCCCAGAAATAAAATCTAGGAAACTCAGTTTTTAGCAGCACAAAACAAGCAAAGGCGAATCCAGAACTAAATTTTAAGGGGCCAAAGAGGGTTTTCCTGAAATTACGTACTGCAAAAACAAATTATTTTTCCAACCAATTTGAAAAGGAGAAGAACAACATTAAGAACACGTGGAAAATTATTAACTCTGTTCTCAAAAACAATACTCCTCGAAAAACTTCTAGTAATAATGTTAACAACTCTAGTATTAAAGATCCTTATTTAATTTCAGAGCATTTTAAAAATTATTTTGTCAATGTTGGACCCAAACTTGCAACTCAAATTCCCAATTGTCCTACTCATTATCAAAATTATCTTCATAATCCAAATCCTTTCTCTATTTTTTTTGCTCCTGTGACAGAACAAGAACTTCATGCAATCGTATTGAGCTTACCCAATAAGAAAAGTTCTGGTCATGATTCTTTTAACAGCTTTACTGTCAAAAATATTATTTCCAGTATTTCTGGTCCGCTTACTTATATAATGAATCAGTCAATTATTACTGGCATAGTTCCACAGTCTATGAAAATAGCCAGGATCATTCCTATTTTTAAGAAGGGTGACCCCACCTAATGAGTAATTATAGACCCATTTCTATCTTAACTTCTTTTTCAAAAATTCTTGAACGTATTATTTATACTTGCACATCTCATTCTTTAAAGAAAAACAATATTATATCTGATGTTCAATATGAGTTCAGAGAGAAAGACTCAACCTCACATGCTATCCTGCAACTAATTGACAAAATTACCACAGGACGCGAACAGTCTTGCCATACTCTGGGAATTTTCCTGGACCTCTCCAAGGCATTTGATACTGTTGATCATGAAATTCTCTTACCGAAACTTACCTTTTATGGAATTAGAGGTATTGCCTTTGAGTGGTTCAGGAATTATCTTACTAATCGTCAACAGTTTGTTTGCATTGATGACAAGAAATCTAACCTTAAAGAATTAACGTGTCGAGTACCACAGGGGTTCTTACTGGCTCCTTTGTTGTTTTCTATTTGATTTTGATATATCTTCTGAGATTCTTTCCTTTATACTTTTTTGCTGATGATTCAAATTAATTTTATTCCCATAAAAACGTAGACAATCTTATTGACACAGTTAACCGGGAGCTCACTTATGTTTCAAACTGGATTAAAGCTAATAAGTTGTCTACTAATATTGATAAAACTTGTTTCATGTTATTCAGCAACACAGTTTCTTGTCTTCCTCAAGATATTTTATTCGATAATTCACCGATTACTCAAACTGACTGTATTACATTTTTAGGTTCGTTTATTGTTGCCAAGCTATCTTGGAGTCAACACATTAATTACCTTAGTAAACTAATGTCGAGAAACATAGGCATTATCAGTAAATTGAAATATGTCTTTCCGTCCGAGGTTTTACATAATATTTACAATTCTTTGATTTTATCACATATTACCTATGGTACTCTAGCCTGGGGTAATACACATTTTGTAAATAGAATTTTGATTTTACAAAAATGGGCGTTGAGAATTATTGATCATGTAGACTTTAGAGCTCACTCAAATCCATTCTTCATTAGACATAAGACTCTTAAAGTCAATGATATTTATTTACTCCAGTTAGGAGTTTTTATGTATAATTTCTTTAAACATGAATTACCTATTTATTTCCAATCTATGTTTTGTATAAATACTTCTGTTCATCAACATTATACTAGACATGCCAGTGACATTCATATCCCATTTACACGGACTTCATTTGCCCAAAAAGGAATTCGTTTTCAAGGTTCTAGGTTCTGGAATTCTTTGGATAATGACAACTAATTGTGTTAACAGTCGTCGTTTATTTAAGCAAAAATTGAAGTGTATCTTACCGGGGAAAATATCAAAACGGCTGATTTGACCTGATTTAATACAGTTCATTTATATTATTTACCTTATTATCATAACCCCTCATGTTGGTTGATCTTCGTGAACAATACCCTATACTGCTGTGCAGTACGTCCTCGTCTTTGTCCTAGTCCTTGTTGCTTGTGTAACTTAGTCATTATTACTTAGTGTATAGCATTCAATTTAACGATGTCTGTTTAATCTAATCCTTTAAGCTATGCACATTATGGGGGTCTCTACTCGACAAGCCCTGCTTTTTGGAGACTCCCACCACTAACCGCCCTTCATTCTAATTATACCCATTTTCCATGTATTGTTATTTGATTGAGTGGAAATAAAGTATTGATTGATTGATTCTGATTCTGAAATGATCATTCACTTCTGAAAAGTGGTCATTCATTTTCGTCTGAATTTGAATGAACGTTTTTAATCCCGTTTCAATTCAACAAAAGTTCAATCGTTTTCACTGTCTGTGCATTCGGTGTTGAGAAACAGACGGCCAATTAGGCCTACGTTACCTGTACATTCATTTACGCAAGCATACCTTCTAAAATTGATTTCAGGTACATGCAGCTAATTTGATTGACGGAATGAAAAAGAAATTCCTAATTGTATCTGATGCCGATGGCATTAAACTAAAATTGAAATAGAACGGTGAATGATTAAAATCGCCCGGTAAGAGCAAACAAGGAGTCTTGTAAACGAATCTGAATGGACATAAACCAAAGGTACTGCTCAATCACTAAACTGATTGAACTGAAAAGGACTCGAATGCTCTGGTAGAGAAAAGGAAACGCGTGTTAAGAGCGATTTTTAAATTCAGAGGAAAATGAATGACCCATTTTCAGAAGTGAATGAACATTTTAGAAAATTGGCCGGGAAAACCTATAGTATCGCGCGCTATTTTCACATATTAAAATTAAGAGGTACATGTATGTGTAAAGCTGATGGATATTTTTATAATTTTTTTTGGGGGGGGGGTTGAGAAAATGTCCTCCGTCCCCCCCCCCTCCCCTATCCGCCAATGACCCCAAGAAAAAAGACAACAGAAGGTTTTCCCCGTACGGGAAGTTCTGACAAAACAAAAAGCCAACAAAATTGACTGACATGTTATCAAACAACAAGTACTCACAGTAAAACAAAAATAATATCAGCTTTACCTCGATACATTAGAAAAAACCTGAATGAGCACTTTGTAATTATGACATCCAAATCTCTTTAGTCATTGCCGTGGAAAGTACCGAGCAAGAAACATGTATCAGCCTAAACTAATATGTGTGAATTACAATCTAAAGCCTAAACAAATAATTAAAGAAAAATAACACTGTTTTTTTTTTGGGCTGAGAAGGCAGGTGAGCTCGTATGGGATATTTTATCAATACCAGCCCTTCCTTGTTAAAAAAAATATCTAATTGTCGAATTAGAAGGACCAGCTCATTCTATGTACAGTTTAGTTTACCATTTCTTAGTTCATAATAACACCAATTCCGCCACGTTTCATATATAAAATGGATTCACCCCCCCCCCAACAAACCGATGCCATATTGCAATGAGTTTCGTATCCAGAATCGTAGAGAATTGAGCACCAACTCAACATAATTCAAAATATTGCCTATTTTATCATGCTCCCTGTACAATGTTTAAGGGTAATACTTTTATTTGTAAACTACCACACCTACTGTTGGCATTGGCTGGTGAGCATTTTTGTAGTAATGAGTGCACAAAACACAAACAGAGAGAACTTGGCGTTTGCTTTCATTGTCGGACGTCTTAGAATATGCGGCAATAACTCACATCCGATCCAGCCAAACTTCAGCCGAGTCCGTGATTTCTGGAATGGTACATTATTATTTAGTATACACATTATCTGTAATAACAGCTTCTGAGTAAATATATGAGTACATCATATTTTCTTCATCTGCTACTTTATACAAATTAAGCATCTGCAACACTCTAACTTTCATTTAATGATAATTATAGCAAAATGGTGCCAGGGCAACATATTGTATTACCTCTAAACAAATTTCTTGGCTAATAGCTAAATGCACACAAACATACAGCTTAACACAACAAGTCAAGACTTAAAGTCTGTTTCAAGCCCTATAGATATCATGATTCCATCAGGTCAAAGTTCACGGATGACCTATTTATTGAGATCCCAGTACTATTGCTCATCGGTTGGTTGCGCTTGAACCTGCGGATACTGCCCCTTCTGGGCTGGATAGGCTGCATAAAAACAGGAAAGGGGAAAATGGAAGAATAAAGTTTTAAAGGATGAGACGATCAGAGTATGAAAAAACGGCTTACATATTGTGAAGACTCTAAACTACCAAATGGCGGCATGTGAATGACCACAAGCCTCGGAGTTTGATATCAGATCAGTATTACTAGGCCTCTACCTTAACATATTGAAAAAAGACATTTCTTACCAAATTATGGTTGACCGATGGGTACTTTGTAGAAGGCCGGTCCCTGGGGCTGAGTGGTAGCTACCACGTGTGGTTGAGGTTGGTAGTGGATCTGCTCATGCCAAAAGAATTCGGTTTTTATTAGTAAGTTTCTTAAAAAAAAACATATCATCAAAAATTAAATATGGATTTGTTTCAATGGATCAAGTACATGTCCACAGATCATTCCTTTCATCGTCCAAATATTTGTTAACGCTGTAACATAAATTGGAAAAATGCGATTAGGGCCTATTTTGCAAAAAAGAGTACGTCTTTTCTTCTAAAAAAAAACAGGTTGTACGCTTCAGTGTTAATCCATAACGTGAAAACTATAAACAGAAGATTTACGACACAGTAAAATTGAAGTGCTTTCGAAGGAAAGCAGGTCAAAAAAGAGTAAAAGTTCTAGCAGCTCATGTTGGTAAGACTGCTTGTGTATACACCATACAGTACCTAGGTTTTAACTCAACTGACTTCACTCTGGATTGCAAGCTTTCCACTGGAGTTTGTCTCCAAATCCTCTCTTACACGATGGTATGATAACCTTTCGGAGTTGCATTTACTAGAGACCATCGCAAATCCACCATGGCCCTCCGAAAGTAATCACAAGGCAACAAGTACCAAGTGAAGTAACAATAAGCACTTTGTGACAAAGGCATTTCAATATGCCATTGTCACCCCTATGTACCAATTGTACTTGTGAGTCGACTTAATTATTGATGGACCTGTGATGGACTCTTCTACAAAAGCGGTGAAGATATATAAACAATGCAGATACTGAGGTAATTCGGTATGACACGTTACGTACCACAGTCTGAGTTGCTGATCCACCGCAGCAGAGTAGACCGCAGGTCAAGCTGGCACCAACTATGGCGACAACAAACTCCACTAAGGCGAGAATTATCACTGTACCATAAACACCATTCACGGCCAACTGCACAATAATAATCCCGAGAATTAATGTATTTTTAACATTCACACTTAATCCCACTTTTAAACCTAAATATCTATGTAGGTAATTTTGAAAATCCTTTAATTTCATCATATCTTTTGAATCACAAATCGCTGTTTAGAGAAAATGTAAAATAAAAAAACTACCGTTAGCATGATTCTTAATTAATTATTATAACACCCCAAGAGTAAAATCAACGACGAAATAGTCGCTTAGGGGAAAAAAGTGCAGAAACCATCGTAATTGTCGAGGAAAGAAACAAGGAAACATTTCTCATTAAATGGAATTAAAGTTTTACCTACCTTCAAATCACAGCTGTAAATCACTGCGTTATAACTATCGTAGTGGTAATCCGAAAAGCAGATTATATTGATGGATGCCATCACATTAGCCCCAAAACCAATGACGCAGCACGCAGCCAGACAAGCCAAGATGGACATGATCATGTAGCCGATAGCCTGTGCAGATAAATCGCAAATCCTTTTAAAAAATCTTTAATATTAATATGTTTTGGTTCATCGTTATAAGTAGTCTCAGGTCTGCAATTAAAGTGGTCCTGTGTTAATGTGTATGCCATAATACATGCAAAATGTCGAAGTAAGATTGTACCCGTCTGTTGTCATTTCTCTTTCTGAGGATATCCACTTTAAGGAAGCGAACCCAAACCCCACACTGCAAAGTATTATAATTCACAATAAGAATAGCTTACCACTCTGGAATTCTTCTTCCATCCAGACACTATGCCCATGATTCCAGCAACGACATAGAACTATATAATAAAAAAAAAGTGTAAGCAGGGGTATAACCACTCAAACATCCACATGATCATTGGCCTGGTATTGGACACCACTGCAGCATTAACCTGTCCAGAGAGTGTGGTATAACTTAAACCTTCTGTTTGGACACAACATGTCATTGTACACCGTAAAACCTTTTTGTGTGCAGAGCACGCTCTATTTTGTGACATGCTTCAAAATATCGTGCCTTAAAATGCTTTTCCTCTGTGAGGAAAATGACCAAAACCATCCCAACCCAACCCAACCAAACCCAACCCAACTCAACCCCCAACCTAACCCAACCAACCCAACCCAACCCAACCCAACCCAACCCAACCCATAACCCAACCCAACCCAACCCCAACCGAACCAAGCACAACCAAATTCAAACACGTTTGCTTATGGTGTAGATCGATGATTTTCTATTATTCCTCATCTCTTTTCCTTTGTTTATACTCTAACCTTTTTTTGCAACTTACACCTCTCATCGGTTTTGTACACGTTTTCTAATCAAGGGGTCCTTGATTTGGTTCCTGTCCTCAATTCATCGATGATGTTGCACAATGTGTATCCTCGATTTACACCATAAACTAACAAACACAAATTCGACCAAGTGTGTAAACACACCCAATCGTGGACCCCCTCTTTTGTTTGTAACATTTTAGGAAAATATCTTATGTTTTGTACCCGATCGTCAATTCGTCATCGGTACCACGAACTGACACTGTGAAAACGCCAGAAGTGAGTCGCGCGTATCACGTGACATTTGTGTCACTTCGTGGAAACGCAAAACCCGTTTTTGACGCGTAGTGTGCTGGCACTTTACACGCGAAAGAATGGTATAGTACACTTCGTGAAAACGCATTTTCCGGTTTTTACCCATTAAGTTGCAAATGTTAATTAATGTTTATTAATGTTTTGACAAAACTAATTAACTATGTGCTTAGTAACTTCTTGAGGTGATAGATTATGTGTAATTAATCACAAATCAGGAAAAAAATCGAAATCGCAAAATATCGATTTTTCGAGGTTAGTGTCACTTCGTGGTGACGGTGACGCAGTTGTGCGTGAGTGCGCTGCACGCGCGAGTTTTTAAAGAACCAGGTTATTTTGTATTGTAAGATGGAATCTTATAAGACGGGTTATTTTGGGTTTCACGAACTGACATCCTCCACAGTGCGGCTCTTTTAGAGCCCCCCCCCCTACATTTCCGGTTTCACGAATTGACACTGACCTTATTTTCACCAATTAAAACGCCTTTTAATTGAATGTTTGTGTAAGCACACAATATACGGATGGATTACATGCCTGTAACACGTTTCAAACCTTTCTCCGTTCTGTATTGCCGCATCATGCTTGGGTGTCAGTTTGTGAAACCGAAATTGTTGATTTTACACGTAATATCAACAATTTCGGTTTCACGAACTGACACCCATTTTCACGAACTGACGCCCACTTGCGCGTGAGTGTCAGTTCGTGGTGCCGATGACGAATTGTGGACCTTTGGGAATTGCGGACCCTATTCTCCTATATTGATCAACGTCTTTTATTGAATGCAAAACAAACTCAAACCAACCAGGCTGAACCAGCCCAGCCCAGCCCAGCCCAACCCAACCCAACACGTCCCCACCCTACCCAAACACAACCCATCCCATCCCAACTCTGGCCAACCCAACCCAACACACACATAGTCGTGTTTTACTATATTCATGAGGACCTGCCCCTTTTCTTCGTTTGTACACGAAATTCTCCCGAGGACTAGTGCCCAGGTACTAGGTCCTCGGGCAGCGTCGGGCCCATTGTTATCGCTTTGTCCTCAGTCCTCAGTCGTATATGATAACCTGTACAGCACAACCCAATACAATACAATACAGAACAACACACATGCACATTACAACAAGTAAACGGCCATCCTCCATACAAACGATCAGCGTTGAAATACGCGCTGTATTCACACACAGATGGGTATAGGCTAATGCATACACCCTCGACTTACTGAAACCATAACTCCTAATAGAAACGGGTACTGAACATAGTAACTGTACCCAATGTAAATTTAGTTTGTCTGCTTGCTGTAGAAACCAAATATTTCTGCTTGCGAGAAAAATGTATGTACGTACTTTTCGAATTCAAAACGACAGCAATTGCACTTCGGGCACACTGACTATGTCAGACATCCATTAAAAATAGCTGTACATGCGTTTTAGGTGGCCGATTCGCTCGGCCAGATGGCATACGGGGCAGTCTATTCGCCTGTCACTCACGAAGTTTGTTCAGAAAGTAACTGCACAGCTAGTTGCTGTCAATTCTAGTGAATATTTAAACCAAATTTGAATGAAATTCACAACAATTTTATGTACGTACTTTTCATTACCATTAATCAATCTGAAGTTGATCGACTGTACAATCGGCGAATAACCCAATTTTGGCTTGTGTGTGCGCCGGGTGTGTGTGCGCGCGTGCAATTCACTCGCCGCGCGCGTGCAGCTTGTTTGTCACGCGCGTTACTGCATGCTGATGGCTAATGGTCATTTGTTTACTGCGTTTGCACATGACTAAATCATGTCACCGCGTTGGCACTAAATGTGTATTCATTACTTCCCAAATCAGTGCGCGCTGTAATTGGCTGTATGTAAATGAAATGATGATATCACAGCTCATTAAAGAGGTTGTGGAATGCTCTAAGACATTTCCGTCATTTTTCGGGTATATGTAGCCTAAGGTGTGATGAAATAAAAACGACTATTGTTTCTGTCATGAAATGAGTACAAAAGGTACTTTTGAGAGCTGTTTTTCAGGTCCAGTTTCGACCCGAACGTGCAACTGTGTAAAAGTCGTCGTTGCGGGCAGCAAACAAAACACAGTAAATCGTGACGTAATAAACAGGACTCCCGATGCACAGTAGCATACACGAGTCCTGTTTATTACGTCACGATTTACTGTGTTTTGTTTTTATTTCATCACTACATATACCCGAAAAATGACGGAAATGTCTTCAAGCATTCCACAACCTCTTTAAAGTTTGTCACCTCGCCCGTGCGTACTTGTTGTATTGAATAAATGAACATACAACCCTACTACACAAACAGCTCAATATCGACCATTACAATATCAATCAGCACTGTCTATAAACAAGAGTGACATATATGTTTCATACTTACTAAGACACCACACCAAATAGGAGATCCGATATCACTGACATAGAACACACGTTTGAATACTGTCATGGTCACAATCCCCAGGATGGTCGTCAAGGAACCCAAAACCACTTGAATGACTCCTGTCCATAGAATACCCGTCCAGTTACCACTTCGAGGCTGTGGAGCGGGTTGCACCGTCTCCTGGGCATGATACAAGAAGTAGAATATTGGGTTATTAAATGTTGAGGTGGGAGTGCTATAAAGCGATAAACAATCATTAGTTGAGGACAAAAAGGTTTGATAATACCAAGCCATTTTCTGTCGGAGGGGTGTTCTTTTAAACTACTGGCCATTCTTAAGTTGCCCTGGGTCGGATGGGAGTCAGGGGACCAAGGTCAATGTTAAACATTTTGACTTTAATTAACATGTTTTTTGATAGTGTTGAGATTGACCACTTACACCAAAAATGCTACGAAAATGGAAAAAAGGTCGCACAATGTTACTTAAGAATGATTTAAACATTTAAACGTTTTTTTCATTTAATGCAATGGATACGTATATCCTCGGTAATAGTGCAAATGCTTTATGTCCATTGTTTTGTGACCAAAGAATATTCATCCCCCTACTTTGCATTGTCGCTCCATTAATTTAATTGTTCTTATGCTAAAATTACTAGTCCGAAAATCTAGGACTCTCAATGCTGTGTATGAGAGTCCGAAAACGTAGTTTTACATGCAAAACAAAATAAATATAGACTGGCACCTGAAACAACCAGTCCAATAAATAAGGCCTTAAGTCCTGCATCAATTGACTGTGCCTGAATAAATATCTGGCACGTCTGGTGTTAGTCTCTATGTCTTCACATTTCTCCTTAGTCAGCAACCAGACTAATGACAATGAATGAAGAGGTCAGTCTTTTCAAACAGTTGGACCATGGTTGGACATGATCTAGTCTAGTCTTTAGCCTCATCTTGAAATCATTTGACGGAAAGAATGTTGCAACCTGACGCTGTTTTTTCTTCATATATCATCTCAATGAAGGTCAGTAGAAGGTCAAAAATGATAAGCATGAATTTGGAACTGTCATGGAGTGTCATGGCCTAGCGGTTAAGAACACCGGACTCATGTTCTGGTGTTTCAGAGGCAACAGTGAAGTGGGTTCGAGCCCGGGCGCGGACACTTGTGCCCTTAAGCAAGGCACTTAACCATTATTGCTTCGTCCTTCGGATGGGACGTAAAGCCGTAGGTCCCGTGTGTTGTATAATGTCTAATGCACGTTAAAGAACCCAGTACACTTATCGCTAAGAGAAGGGACTCGCCCCGGTGTTTCTGGCAGTGCGATTATCTTCAGCCATGAAGTCTGCACTTGTAAGGAAGGAAGGAAGGAAGAACTGAGAAACATTTCCAATTAAGTACCGTTCAATTAGAATACAAGATTACGTAAAGGCACCTATCAATCTCAAAACACATTAGGCCTACTTATCTAATGGAAGTGATGGCTTAAAAAAATAAACAGATTTTGACTGATATAAACCTCTATTTACTCACAATATAGGCCCAATTTGAGTGTTCACGTTTCACACGTTCATATTCTGTGAGCAAGAAAGGCAGGTGTAGTAGGCTGACTTACCAGTTGTTGCTGGCCGACGGGCTGAGGCGCAGCCACGTAGGCAGGTGGGGCGCTAGGAGCGGTCATCATCGTGACAGAAATTATCTCCGGATTCTCTGTAAATCAATTAATCAATCAATCAATCAATCAGTCAGTCTGTCTGTGGGTCCGATTATCAATATTTGCTCGTACTATTTCAAACGTGACTTGTGAAACGTCAAAAGAGTCAAAGCAACACAGTCTATGTTCCAGTGTGCATTTTGAATGGTAAAGAAACATCAACTGGAAAAGACTGTCTCTCTCGTAAGGCCCGAATAAAGACCTGCTTTTTCCTTTCGTCAAGAGGTATACTTTAGTGGCAAAACAAAGTGCAAACAAACGCAATCGTTTTACCTTTACGCTGGAGCGTTCCTATTTCCTCAGCCGTCCTCACAGCCTGACACGGCGTTCTGTACAAAGCGCATACCGACTGTGCTTGCTATGCTCAGACAGTAGTTTTGCGCACCTGTTCGTGCTAAGAATGGACGAGGCGAAACCGAGTGTCTTGTGGAACGAATCTACACTTCCGGGTCTATTCGCCCAGTTAATATATTTCAAAATACAACAATAGTTCATGCAAATAAGATCCCTGGTTTACCGCAATCTCCACGTTTGTGAATAAGTGTAGATTTGTACAATCTATTCAACTCTGCCTGGCCCAGCGCTTGATTGCATCGTGACAAGATCCTATTGATAACCCTTCGGTTTGGGTGCACATCTTTTGTTCCATTCATCATGCGGCACGTTGATCCGTCCTACAGAATTGCAAGGAAATGCATGTACGCCACAATCAAATTAAACAAATCTATTGCTTAAACAGTGCTTTCCATCGTATCAACAATCTCAAAGCCTTTTACAATTATTCCCCACTTAATCAGGCCACGGGACCACACAGCAGCCGATATCAGCGAATATTCGGTCCTCTGTACCCGAACAGCAGGGGGGTGCATAGCCTTTAGATTTTATTTTGAACCCCCCCCCCCCCAGACAAAATGTTTCCTTGCCCCCCGAAAAAAAAAATAATAATAGTGATAAATCGTCACCCCCAAATCGACACCACCCCCACCCCCCATCCCGGACATTGGCGATCGGAGGAAATCAAGAAAATCACAAAACCATAATTAGCAGATTTAACATTCAAATTGTAATTTATTTTCTGGCGAAACCCTGTTTCGGGCGATTGGGTGTTTATTATCACCTCCCGTGAAACGACCTATTGTTTGACAATGACAATGAATTCGGTTTCGAAAAAGCGTCCCAATTGAAAGGTGGAACCATTGGAACAGGAGGCTAACGCAACTTGAGTGTTTATTCAATGAGTGCTAGTGGTGTGCTCACAAACACTACCTTGTGGGGTACCGGAACAATGATATATAGTATCCCACAAGGAATACCCAGCGACTTGCGGGGTACCGTTTTGGTACCCCGCAAGTGTTTCAAGAATAGATATATGGATTTTACTCAAAAACTACGAATTTCCAGGGTGGATTGATCCGTAGCAAATGGAAGAGTTTTAGAAAAGGGATATTAAGTCCGAATTTCAGCCAAGGAAATTAACTATGGTTAAAATAAGAGCATTTTGACATAAATGTGCGACGTTGCAAAAATTTTAGTACACGAGAACAAAGGAAGTACCCCACTTCTATGCCTATGTAATCGTGGGTGCACGCGCGTGTGCGATGAAGTTACTAAACGAACCGGATAAGTACTCATCAGTACACTTGGATGGAGCCAAAAGAAAGGCAGGCGGCATGTTTAGTCTGGTTCCCTAGACCTGACAATTATTCCCGACGCTCACGTCCAAATTGTAGGTCAGGCAGCCTCCGTGGTTAAAAATAAACATTATGACATTGACGGCCCTTTTTAAAAGCTCGGATTCGTTTCCGATTTCGCTTTATCACATAGCTTTTAATGTTCTCATCAAATTTGTAAATAAGTCACTTACTTCGTAATATCATACAGTTCTGATCATACAGTTTGATATTTCTGTAGGATAAAACTGACTAATGTCAAAATTAGGCACCCAAATAGCACCGTTAGCAGGCGGAGCCGAATGAAGACCGAGTTTTGGAAAACCTCGGTAACGGTCGTCAAATTCACAATAATACATGACGCAGCAAAAAGTTCGTCCTTACGATCCGAGTATACTTGATGCCCAAAATCTTCGTTGAATTTCCAGGTTTCTTAATGAAAGCAATGAATATTAATTATTAACTCCTTTAAAAAAGTTTTTAATAGGCAATAGCAGTTAATGTTATACTCGGAAATACTCGGGTGCTATCCGATTGTCGACGAAATGAACTCTGCAAACTTCGGATATTTTCGGAAAAAAGGAGAGGTCCTCCCGTTTTAGCCACGTGACGTAACTTGTAATACAATGTATTACCGGAGGCTACCGGACCGAAGATTCATCAGGAATAGTCAGAATCTGTTGCTCTGGGAACCAGGCTAGCGACATGTCGTAGACTGGTACCCGGTCCCTTTATTCTTGCCTGATGTTTACAGGCTTTTTAAATTACACGCTGACCTCAGGTGAATGTAAACGATTGTACACATGCTGTAAGTTTACATAAAACATGTACGGAGCTACAAGACTGCGCAGAACTGATGAGGTTTCGTGGGTCGATTACTTTATTTTGTCAAGGCAGGACGAAAACTCTTCACAATATACAAGTAAAAGAACGTAATTCAAAAGCATGCAGTTCAAGAGTTTTAAAATCATTTATTGACCGGAATTTAGGGCGATCAGAATCAAAAGATTCCCTTTATTCAGGTCTGCATAAAAAGAAACATTGATAACAACTAAAATGAACGTGATATGTTGATTTATCTAATATCCGGATAAGTTTTAATACCCTTTACCAAATGTAGTTTCTTAAGACTAAAGGACATTGTGGTATACAAGGCATCCTATAAATGATGCAAACAAAATTAACTGACATGTAATCAAACAATAATTACTCAAGATAATTTTTTTTTTTAAATCAGCTTGTCATCGGGACATATTATTGTCATTTGCTCATTGATACATTAGCAAAACCAAAGTAAGTGGACTGTGTATATGTAAAAGACAAATCTGAGTATATTTTTTTACTAATATAAAAATGTGTGAATTTCAAAGCTCTATGCAACTACTTAAAGAAAATATAACAATGTATAAAATTACGTGCGCGAATTGTTGTTAAAGTTAAGGGCCGGGGAACTGGTTTAAATAAAGTCATACCAGCTAAATCAAGTCTGCAATCTTGAAGTTTGTTGTTGCTGCTACATTAGCATTTGCCTCAAAATGACCGAAGTTACCCATTTGATTGGTATGCGTTGTACAGAGAACTGTTTTTTATTTTATAATCATACAAATTCCGCCAGGTCAAACATAAAACAAAAACCCCTTTTAATGCCAAATTGCTATAGATTTCATGTCTAGAACCTCTAACAATTAAACACCAACTCCATATTCCAAATATGGCCTATTAAGCTGCCTTCATAATGGGCCATACCTTATTTGTAAAAGCGGCGAACCCGCAGTTGGCATTGGCTCGTGAGCAGTTTTGAAGTTTCGAATGCATACAATGAGTAGAAAGAAAGTGGCTTTGGTTTTCAGGCATTGCTGGATGTCTTTGAATATAAACCTAACCTCCTAGTGTTTAAGTCGGCAACTCAAACATAAAGCGATTTTTTTTGCAGCCGAGGCCGTGATTTCGAGAATGGCACATTATAAGTGTATTAAATAAATACATTTTTAGTATTGTAACAACAGCTTTTAAGCGAATATCTGAGTACCCTTTTCTTCATTGACTACTTTATAAAAAATAATCATGCCAGCGGCATTCTAACTTTCATTTGAGGACAATTATTATATTGGAGCCAGGGCAACATTATACCTCTAAGCATATTTCTTGACGCGTGACAGCTAAAAGCTAAATGTACAACCACACACAGCTTACCATGATTAGGTCAAGACGTAAAATTCTGTTTCGAGCACTATATATCATGATTCCATCAGGTCAAAGGTCATCGATGACCTAATTGATGAGTTCTTGGGACTGTTGCTCACCGGGTGGGGGCGCTTGAGCCTGCGGATACTGTCCCTGCTGGGCCGGGTAGGCTGTATCAAAACAGGAGAAGGGGAAATTGGGAAATGAAGTTTTAAGGCTGAGACGACCACAGTAGGGTGTTATACTTTCTTTGAACACATACACAGAGGGAAAGACAGCTTATAGATATTGTGAAGATTCAAAAAACGAACCGAAAAGGCTACATGGGAGAGACCACAAGCCTCGCAGTTTGATATCAGATCAGTATTACTATACCTTAACATAATTATTCAAAAACAGACATCTCTTACCAACTTGTGGCTGACCAGCAATGTTGTAGAAGGCCAGTCCCTGGGGCTGTGTGGCAACCACCACGTGTGGTTGAGTTTGGTAGTGGATCTGTCATTATCAAGAAAAGTTATGTTCCATTGGACAGTTTCTTTAAATATATCATCATGTAATTAAATCCCTAGCACTGCACCACCTGGCAAACGCACGTGTATTTGTCACTGCTCCCATAGCTCAACACTATTTTTACCTCGAATACTTTCTTTCACGATCCCAAACACCTGTGTATTATCATTAATTTAATATTTTCCTTGTTTTTATTATTGAAGTGTCCAGTTCTTGATTTCTGAGCAAATCCAAAGGTCGATGGGGGGTCTACCTGATGTTCCCCAATACTGATGTTCCCTAATACCGATGTTCCCCGAAATCCTTAGGATTTGGGTTAGGGTTAGGGTTAGGGTTAGGGTTATAGGGTAGGGATTTCGGGGAACATCGGTAGTGGGGAACATCGGTAATGGGGAACATAGGTATGCACCCGGTCGGTGGGCATTATCGTTTTAATCCGAGTACTTGTTTCTGCCTTTAACAACTTTAAGCAACTTTATGTCTAGAGAGCGGAAACAGCATTCGTCTTTCCAAAAGTTGGTCTACTAGATTAATCAGTGCTAGTCCATGGAATGAAACGGTGGGGACTCGAGAATAAGTAGATTTTTGTTAAAATAAAGTGAAAATTGCTCTCGAAGGAAAGCATATCAGCAGATGGAAACGCATGCCTAGAGACATACGAGGTAATAACTGCTTGTGTATACATATTACGATACCTAGGTTATGCATTATGAACAAGACAGTGTTTTTCTAAACTTCAACTGGACTAATCTTCAAAAGCATTACACATTATCAGTTGGTACAACAGTCAAAACTCCCCAAAAGCCCATGACAAGTTTAATCACATGACATCAGGTCCCACGTCTTGTCACAATAATTAGGTCTTTGTTATGCGCATTTCTATGTCATTATTTGAGCCTCTTACTTGTAAACTGGACATTTGAAAATAAAACTTAAATAAAACGTTATGCTCGTTGGCCTATAGCGCCAGTGGCGCACCCAGGATTTGGCTTGGGGCCCTCACAATTTTTTTTACATTTTTTATAAGTTATATTAAAAAAGAAATTGCCCCACATTTCTGTGCAGTATGCATAAGGATGGTCATTTTTGAAGAGCGCCCCTATTTGGAAGATGGGTACCAGCCCCCTCCCCTCCCCTTTTTTTAATTTTACGGAGGGCAAGTGTCCGGAGAAAAAAACCACACACATGACTACATTTCGGCGCGGATGTGCCGTTGCTCCCACCCCCCCCCCCCGGCCCGCCTTCCCCCACATCAAAAGCTGGATACGCTACTGGTTCGAAACCACGCACCACCGTACATGAATCAAACAAGGCGTAATCACCGGACTATGGAATTGTACTATAAATATGCAATTGACTGCAATTGACTGTCATTTACTAGTTGTGGATCAAATTAATGTATATTCAAAACAATGCTGATCCACAGAGAATATAGCTTGGTGTTGTCACAACACGGTACGTACCACAGTCTGAGTTGCTGATCCACTGTTGCAGATTGGACCGCAGGTCATGCTGGCACCAAACATGGCGACGATAAACTCCGCTAAGGCGAGAAGTATCAGTGTAGAATATACACCATTGATGGCCGCCTGCATAAAATCATTGCAAGAGATAATGTGTTATACCTCGTTACAACTGACATTGTAGTAACCAACGGATAATGTATCACCAACCGATAATGTCACACAAATTGACCGATACTGTATCACTAACCGATAATGTAACAGAAATTGACCGATAGTGTAGTAAATGTTACTACACTAGCTATCGGTCAATATTTGTTACATTATCGGTTAAGACAGATAATGTAACAACAATCGACTGATAGTGACACTATTGTCAATTTGTGTGACATTATCGGTTGGTGATACATTATCCGTTGGTTACTACGTTATCAGTTGTAACATACCTTCACACTTCAAAGGGCCCACATTTCAAAACATATGTCAACCTTCAAGGGCCCACATTTCAAAACATATTTCAACCTAAATACCTTTGCGGTACGTACATTTCGGTTTGTTATTATGTACATAATTAAAAAAAAAAACAAGTTCATCATTAGTTTTAATTACCAATCGCTGTTTTGGAAAACAAAATTCATGCAAAAAGCATTATTTATCGTCATTCTCAATTACTCAATCTAGCATATTAAGAGTACAATCTACGACGGAGGACTCGCTTAGAAATAATAGCTGTAAAAAGATAGAACCCTTCATGATTATCGAAGGCAAGAACGAGCAAATATTTCTCATTAAGGAGGATTAAAGTTCTACCCACCTCCAATTCACAGTGCGGGGAACTGTTTCCGTAGTAATCATAACCATTACTCGTATAAGGCGGATATCTGCAGTGCAAATTGATGGTTGCAATCCTGGCAGCACCAAAACCAATAACGCAGCACGCAGCCAGACAAGCCAAGATGGACATGACCATATAGCCAATAGCCTGTGCAGAAAAATCACAATTCCTTCAAAATCTCCTGTCAAACAATTGTACGTAGCTGAAAGCGGTTCAGACATTAAATGGTCCGGTTTGAACCTGCAAAATATTTTACTAGTTAGTATATTCTTCCTTTTTTGAAGAATTTTCACTTGAAGGAAGCAACACCCAAACCCCACACTGCCCATACGCAATCCCCTAACAATAGCTTACCACTCCCGAATTCTTCTTAAATCCAGACACTATGCCCAAGATTCCAGCGACGCCATAGAACTGTCGAAAACAAATAAGGCTGAAGTTAAATTGCCGTCCGGAAAGAAAGTGGCCAGAGCTTCGATAAAGGCTAGGCCTATCCCTACATCTAATAATAATAATAATAATCGCAGTGCTTATATAGCGCCATATCAGGCCATGATACCACGCAGCAGCCGATATCACGTATCAGTGCTCAATCGGTCCTCGACCCTCACACAGGTACCCATTTATACTCCTGGGTGGGGAGAGGCAATTGTAGTGAAGTGTCTTACCCAAGGGCACATGCAAGCATATGTTTCTGGCAAAATTCGAACCCACGCAACATCGTGCGTGAGTCAAACACCGTAACTACTTGACTACATGGCCTTCTAAGGACCATGGTATGGTGTTCTATAGACGCCAAATCTGCGTCGCGTCGTGCTTTCACGTCGTGCCGTCGCGTCGTACCGTCGCGTCGTGCCGTCGTCCGTCGCGTCGTGCCGTCGCCCGTCGCGTAGTGGCGTCGCCCGTCGCGTCGTGCCGTCGCCTATTAAATTACCGTTTCTAAGCACGTACACTGCATGAGGAAGCGACGCACCTTCACACGTCGCGTCGTGCCGTCGTGCGTCGCGTCGTGCCGTCGCCCGTCGCGTCGTGCCGTCGCCTGTTACCTCGGCGCTTCTAAGTAGACTGCTTGAAGAGGCGACGCACACATTGCCCGTCGCGTCGTGCCGTCGCCCGTCGCGTTGTGCCGTCGCGTCGTACCGTCGCCCGTCACGTCGTGCCGTCGCCCGTCGCGTGACTGTATCTTTCTTGGCAATAGGTGGCGCCTTCATTCTTCATGTACTTGTGTTTAATAGGAAGGGGAGTAATCATACATGTCGCCACTACATTTTAAGTTAAATGGAATGGAGTTTGGCCGCCACCATGCATTAAAGTTTTTATCAGACTTGTGTTTTCTTTAAAAGAAGTAGTTTCTGGCTAGGAAAATAGCAAGGAAGAACCGGTTTTGTGCGAGCAAAATTCAGGGAACAATCTGTTGATAATAATAACTTGTTGGAAAGTTCCAAAGTCATTCCAAGACAGTTGCCACCGTGAATAAGAGTTTAAAACAAGGGAGGAGGATGGGATTTGCTATCAGCATCAGCAGGGCCGTTCCTCATTCTTTTCTTTTTATGGGATGTATGATAAAATTTGAGTGCGAGCTGATGAATCTTTTTGAAAACATTGTATTTGCAACCAGCTAGGGAAGATTTCCGTTTATTTAAGACTTAGAAGCACTGGTATGGATACCTGTGTAAGTATATGACTAAACTGCCTAGAGCGTATTTGTTAAGGTTTTTTTCTTTTTTGGAAATTCAATACGCATAATTATAGGGAGTAACATCAGTTCCACTGCTGGGTTGCGGTGATGGGTGGGTTACAACTTGTCAACACATATTTCGCCAGCGGGCCCATTAGATTGGTGATAACCGGAGAGCGGGAGTTTCAAAAAACTCATCCGGTGTTTAGGCGACGCAGGGACTGGTTTGTGTACATGTGGTTTTTGTTTCTAGTTCACTTAATGATTTGATTTATACCGGTGATAATATGCCACCTGTTTTTTCTTTTTTGTGTGTCGGGGGAAACAGTGCATATTTTCTGTGCCCTTTTTACGCACTTCATCAGTCACCCTTTGTTTAATTCTTTTATACGTATTTACTTTATTGCTAATGATGGTTAAGAATATTTTACGCGTTAGCATTTCTTGTAATGATCAGATTAAGTGGATTCCTTATTTTTTATTTTTATTTCGAAATCCATGCCTAAATGACCATTATGTTAGTTCTGTTTCTTCAAGAAGTTCCGATAGGACTTGTACGTTCTCCTCATCCAAGTTTTTTTTTTCTTGGTTGGATGGTGGAGATGGGTTAATCCTTGATCGGACCAGGCCATCTTTTATGTTTTTTGTCGTTTGTATGCCAGGATGGGTTGGGTCGCAAAGAGTGCACTGAGAAAATCATTATCGCTGATCAGATTCCAGTGTTTCAGAAGGGCCTGCTTAAGAGCTGGGTGTTTAATTTGTGGGTGGTAGGGTAAAACAAAGACCAGCGGGATATTCTTTTCGGTTTTTGCACGCTTTTTAGAGTTCACGCGAGTTTCGCCTTTTTGGAGAAGAAGGGCCAAGGGCGGATCCAGAACACAATTTTTTTGGATTCTAGATGCTCTGTGGTGCGATCTGAGGCAATTTCTGACCACTTTAACCAATGTTTTTTTGAGGAAAAGATGGTGGTGTACTCATTGCCTGCCTTTATTGCGATGTCACATAAAAAAAAAATGGTTTCGTTTTTTTGGGGGGGGGGGGGCCATGGCCCTTTGGCCCCCCCCCAGGATCCGCCCTTGAGAAGGGCTAAGTCTTCTTGGTTGTATCCGCGTTTTTGAAGTTTGTCTTTGAAGAATTCAGCCTTCTCCTCAAATTCTTTTGAGTGTGTGCATATACGGTCATATCTCATTAATTCTCCCTTAATCAAACCGCCAAACACTATATCAGGGTGGGCTGAATCTCGAGCAAGATACTGAAAGGTATCAGTTTTTTTGGTTGCTACTCGAGTATCCAGTTTCCCTTCTTTTTTGAACCGTTCGCCTTTGTAGATGACGAGGTCGAGGAAGGTGACTTGACTGTTTGAAATCTCTGACGTGAACTTGAGCGTGGGATGAATTTGGTTTAGAGTTTGGACGAGAACACCGGCTTGGTCTTCGTTACCGTTAAATATTATTAAGACGTTGTCCCTGTATATCATGTAACTCGCAATTGAAGGATTATGTGGGAGAATAATTTCTTGTTCATATTTGAACAGGGTTATATCGCATATTTCTGGACTGCATTCGCTTCCCATAGCCACGCCAATTTTCTGTCTGAAGAACTTTCCATTGAATTCAAATATGTTTCGAAGCATGATAAGTTCCAGGAGACAGCGAGCGTGTTCTCTTGTAGGTTTGGGTATTGCGTAGTACAGACTGTTATCGGCAACTTCAAGTGCATCGCAAACTGATTCAATTGCCTCATCTTGTGGGCAGTTCGTATGGACACAATGTCCAATGTGATCAATAGGATATCCTGCTTCAATGTCACGTTGTTTAGTTTTTCAAGCATATGCCCAGAATCGCGTGTATATGTGCTTTGTTGTTTGACAATCGGAAGCAGAAAATAGTCTATGTATTTTGAAATTGATTGAGTCGGACCTCCGCAACCACTAATAATTGGCCTCCCCACAAACCGTGTACAAACTGTACGACATAGCAATTTGCAACACTTTCACCGCACGGCACGCATGTCATAAATACAGTACAGGTACATGAAGAATGAAGGCGCCACCTATTGCCAAGAAAGATACAGTCACGCGACGGGCGACGGCACGACGCGACGGGCGACGGCACGACGCGACGGCACGACGCGACGGGCGACGGCACAACGCGACGGGCAATGTGTGCGTCGCCTCTTCAAGCAGTCTACTTAGAAGCGCCGAGGTAACAGGCGACGGCACGACGCGACGGGCGACGGCACGACGCGACGTACGACGGCACGACGCGACGCACGACGGCACGACGCGACGTGTGAAGGTGCGTCGCTTCCTCATGCAGTGTACGTGCTTAGAAACGGTAATTTAAGAGGCGACGGCACGACGCGACGGGCGACGGCACGACGCGACGCCACGACGCGACGGACGACGGCACGACGCGACGGTACGACGCGACGGCACGACGTGAAAGCACGACGCGACGCAGATTTGGCGTCAATAGAACACCATACCATGGCCTTCAAGGCCATGGCCTTTCACCATTGCCATCTGGGATGAACATGTACCGTAATTTTCGGAATATAAGCCGCGCGGCGTATAAGCCGCAGCACGCAAAAATCTGCAAATAAAGATTTGAAGTCGGCGTATAAGCCGCACCGGCGTATAAGCCGCACCGACCGCTGCGGTTTCAATTTTGTAAGGCCTCCAAATTCTAGTCAAAATGCTCTAAACCAGTTCCATTTACACTACAGAAGCTATTAAAAGGACCACAAAAGTTATATCAAATCATTTACAATCGAAACTTTTACAAACAAATATGGGAATTGATGAGAAATAAACAATGGGAACTGCTGCCGGCTGCCCCGTCATAGCCCGGCAGCCTGCGCCACGCACGCCGGTGAATGACAACATTTTCCCACAGCACGTGAGAGAGTATGCAACCCACCGTGTGTTGTCTGACTGGAGCGCTACAAATCTTGCTTTGTGGCAACAGATGCTGATTTGTTTTGTCCTAAGAATAAACAGGTCCGTTTTTACCGCAAAACTTATCAAATTGTTGCGATTAGTTGCGAGAAAAATTCAAGTTTCGATCGTAACTTTCTTCGGAAATAGTCAAAACGAAGCGGACATTTTAATAGACGATTCCATTAATTTTGTAAGGGGTGATTTAGTCCCTCTTTTGAGTTTTACATCGTTTCTTGAATACATTTCAAGAAAACAAAATATATTGTGACGTTGAACAACTGATTATGTAATAAAAAAATGTTTCGAACGCCATAAAAATTTTAGTGGTCTTTTTTCTTTTTTTTTAAACAGCGAAAATATTGGTAATTATTGTTCCCAAGAAAGAACACCCCTTTGTTACCACAAATGGTGTGGTCCGCTGTTGGGAAAGCATGCCTGCATATATCGCTGCTGCACTGTACCAGTATCACGTACGGCTGGTGGCAAGTGTCGAAGACAGCTTTCATCACCGTACTTTTTTACCGCTCGGTACCTTTACGTGAGACATGGTTTCGGTTTGTTAATGACTTTCTTAATTTATAATTCATTTCAGCAACATATCTCTTCTAATACCAGTACATTAAATACACATGTGAATTTCATTTTTATTCTTCAAGGCTCGGCGTATAAGCCGCCCTGTGTATAAGCCGCAGTAAACATTTTCATGGGCAAAATCAACGTATAAGCCGCGGCTTATATTCCGAAAATTACGGTACTTGTGCAGCAGATGTATGTGGGAAGTTCCATGGTAACTCACATCACATTTCGAGGGGGTCTTTCGTCAACTCTGCATTAGTATTCTTTAAAGTCAAAGCGTTTAGAATGGATTTTTCGTCACAGAATATCCCTTGAAATTAAGAAACTAAACTAAAGGAAAAGACCAACTAATGCGGTTGGGCCATAAATGTTTTTTTCATCCTTGACTCCTATTACACAAAAAAAGACAAGGCAGAAAATTAAATACCTTGCATTTGAAAGTCCTCACAATGTGCACTGATGGAAACAAAAAATATTTTCAGTGCTCGTGCATCATCAGAGTGTAAGCCATGCTCGACCATTACAAAAACATAAGCTCGACAATTACTAAAACATAATCATAACATGTACAGAGGTGTGTATTTCAGGAGCTTGTGCATACGCTAACTCACGTTACAGATTGTACGCCCATCTTTTGAGCAAGTTCAGACATGCTTACAAGCTAATAACCAACAAAAATCTTATTTGGCACAAAATATAAACCTTTTTATATTCCTTAAAAACAAAACAATCACCGTATACTTCCACCTTGCATGGACAACATGACTACATAAAAGCCAAAGTACCCACTGCCGGGTCTTGTTGTCCCCTTTAATTTGATACCCTGTTCAAGGCTGTGGTGCTATATACGAATCCTACACCATTATCATTAGCAAGGTGGTGGACACCACATCATGAACCTGCCCTTAGCAGTGTGCGACAACTTTAGCCGTCTATGTGTACACAACATGGAAGTGTCTATTGCATCCCAAAACCTTTCATTGTACATGTAAAACGAAACTCCTTTTGGTGAACAGACGAAAAAGCCCTGTTTCATAACCTCGTGCAAGTAAAACCCTTTCTTTTTATTTCTATGAGAAAAAAAATCGTTGCCTGGTGGAAATATTCCTCCATGTCTCCTCTTTCTCTACACAAACCCGCTTCATAAACGACTGCACTGAGCTTAACGACCTAATGAAACAACAGTTTTGATGCTGAACAAGTTAACAACGATCATGAGGCAGTAGAACCAACAAAAGAAACAAATAAACAAGCAAACAAGCAACCCAACGAACAGCCCAAGGAAAATAAATCAGCACTGTCAATAAACAAGTAGCATGAAATTATGGCGAATAATGTTCAAATCACTTACTAAGATACCACACCAAATTGGGGATGCAAAATCACTGCGTTCTACACTGCTAAATACTGTCAGGGTGACAATCCCAAGAATGACGGTCAAGGAACCCAAAACCATTTGACTTATTCCTGTCCATAGAATACCCTTCCAGTCACCATCTCGAGGCTGTGGGTTGACCGTGCCGACAGTAACAGGAGCTGGTTGCACCGTCACCTGGTGAATGAGGATGCTTGGGTTGAGTGACAATGATATTTTGGGAATTTATAGGGTGATAGTGGGGAGTGTTGATTGCGGTAAAATGAATTTGTCATATTTTATATAACAAAGTCAAAACCATATTAGCATATTTCGTGTAAGTGCAATGTAAACCCAACCAATAGAAATTCAATAATGTTTGACTCTTGTACACTCGCGCAACACACAAAACATGTCCTTGAGGTAGAAAGAATTTCATTTTTCTCGTGCTAAAATTACCATATGAATAGAGTCCTAGCCTGAGTACGTAAATGACATTGCGAACACCAACAGGCAACTGTATTTGTGAGTGTTTAGTCATGTATATGAGACCAATCGTATACATCTAGCTTGTACTGAATGGTACAAAGCAGGTAATGGCGACGGCATAGTAAAACCGATGCCGGATTATTATACAAAAGCACCATCACATCAATCTCAAAACATATTAAGTATCTCATAGAACTGATGACTGATAATAATAAACATATTTTAGCTGATATAGACCGTTATTTACTCAGTCTACAACATAGACCCTACTTTTCACTATACTGAACGTTCATATTTTAAATACAGGTGGAGTTGACTGACTTACCAGTTGTTGCTGGCCGACAGGCTGAGGCGCAGCCACGTAGGCAGGTGGGGCGTTGTTAGTGTTCATCATGGTAACAGAAAGTATCTCCGGATTCTGTGTAATTCAATTAATCAATCAATCATCAATCGGTCTGTCTGTCGGTCCGATTATCAACATTTGCTCGTATTTCAAACATGACTTGTAAAACGGCAAAAGAGTCGAAGCAACACAATTTATTTCGGTATTATGTTCCAGTGTGCATTTTGAGAAACATCCACTGGAAACGACTGTCTCTCTCGGCAGGCGCGAGTAAAGACCTGCTTTCCTTCCGTCTACGAGGTATAATTTAGTGGCAAAACAAAGTGAAAACAAATGCGACCGTTTTACCTTTACGCTGGAGTGATCCTGTTTCCTCAACCGTCGTCACTGCCTAGCACGGCGTACTGAACACAGCGCTTACCGACTGGGTTTGTCATGCAATAATATTGCGCACCATTACGTCATATTCTAAATTAAGCATTTGCTTAGTGGCATAAAAAGCGTCTCATCCTTCTTCCCAGGGCTCGCTTCTCCCTACGCTATGGCGCTGGTACCACCGAGTGATAAGTAATAGCCTTGCAATTCCTTGAGCTTTTATCGGATACATATTGTAAAACCCGTAACCGAAAGTCTGAACTTTCCCAAGTGCACCACCCATGCGCACGAAATGCACGTACAACTGACCTATACCCACAATGCTTTTATTAGGCGTGCTTTTAAGTCAAGTTTTTGCGTCTGGATTGAACACTTTGGATGGAGCGTGCAATGCGCTGGGGACGAGCCAAACAAAGGCAGGCGACAGATCGTAGACTGGTCCCCGGTCCCTTTACTCTAATCTGGGCAAGCCCGATTGTCGACGGAGATTTAGGAGCTTTTTATATTACACGCTGAGCTCAGGTCATATACTGTAAGTTTACATAAAACATGATCGGAATTATAAGACTGCATATACCAGCTGAGGTTTCGTGGGTCCAATACTATATTTTGTCTAGGCCAGACGAAAAGTCTTCACAACAAATATAAAAGTACAAGTACAGAATTTAAAAGCAAATTCAAACATTTGAAAATTATTTATTTAATGTTGAGCGATCAGAACCAAAACATTCTGTCTATTTAAAACCTTTGATATAGGATCTGCATAACGAAGTTGCGATAAAAAAGAAACATTAAATCATAATCACAATAAACGTGATATCATGCTTACAAGTTTGCGTGTCCATTCCCATTTGTTATTTCTTAAGACTAAAGAACATTAATTGTTGTATGGAAAGCATCCCAGAAATGAAATCAGGGGAACGGAGTTTTTAGCAGCCTGACCAAACACAAACACAACAGAAGGTCTCTCCCCCCCCCCCCCCCGGTACGGGAAGTTCTGATGCAAACAAAATTGACAGACATATTATCAAACAATAATTACTCATAATAACAATTACAAAAAAAACCGTTCAAACATCATCTTCTCATCGGGACATATCATTTGCTCATTGATACATTAGCAAAACCAAAATGAGTACTGTGTACATATAATATACAAATCTCAGTAGTACTGACTAATATAATATGTGTGAATGACAAAGCTTAGACATCTCTTTTAAGAAGAAAACAAATAAGTGTGCAACTTACGCCAAGTGCTGTTTAAGTCAACGGAACGGGTTTAAAAAGTCACAGCAGCTATATCAAGTCAGCAATCTTGCATTCTTTTTTTTTAATTTGTTTTTGCTGTGAATGCAAGAAAGCTAATGTGGGCTATTCCATCAATACCAGCTTGATCAACCAATGGATCTAATTCGAAGAAGCAGCTCGTTATGCGTTGTACAGAGAACTGTTTTTATTTCATTATCATACAGATTCCCCAGGTGAAACATAAAACCGAAACCCCTTCCAATTTAAAAACTAAGGCAATAAATTCCATATCTAGAACCTCAAACAATTTAACATAAACTCAATATTCTGATGTGAGTTCCACCAATCAAATGACAATAATTTGTATGTCGGTTATATAAAAGCTTATATTGGTCACACCTTTATTTGTAAAGCGGTGAACCTGCTGTTGGTTAAGGCTAAATTTGGCGCCGGAGCAATTTCGAATGCACAAAACAAACAGAAAGACACTGCCTTTGGCGTTCAGTGATGGACGTCTTTGAATATGCGGCAAACCAATCAAACAAAACTAACGTGTGTTTCAGTCGGAAACGCAAAACATGCACCGAATGTCTACAGCCGAGGCTGTGATTTCGGGAATGGCACATTATTACTTTATTTAATATATACATTATGCGTAATGTTACAACAGCTTTTGAGTAAATATCTGAGTATATTATACTTTTTTTCATTGACTGCTTGATACAAATGAAGCACCTCCAACATTCTAGCTTTCATTTGAGAAAAATATTCTAAAATGGAGCCAGAGCAACATATCGCATTAGCGCTGAACCTATTTCTTGACGCGTGACTGCTAAAAGCAAAAGGTGCATCCATACAGTTTACATGAACAAGCCAAAACTTAAATTCCGTTTCAAGCCCAAGATAATTCCATCAGGTCAAAGGTCATCGATGACCTATTTAATGAGTTCTTGGTTCTGTTGCTCACCGGTTGGGGGCGCTTGAGCCTGCGGATACTGCACCTGCTGGGCTGGGTAAGCTGCATCAAAGCAAGGAAAAAGTGTAAATGAAGTTTTAAGGATGAGACAGTGTAGTTAATATATACATTATCCGTTATGTAACAGCAGCTTTGGAGTAAATATTTTAGTACACTTTTTTCATTTAATACACCTTATATCAATTAAACATCCCCCACATTTCTCTTTTATGGGAAAGTTAGTATGAAAGGGAACCAGGGCAACATATTGTTTTGCCTCTTGACCTGATTCTCGACGCGTGAGTGCTATTAAAGCTAAATGTACATCCACATATACAGTTAACAAGCAAAAGTCAAGACTTAAAATTCTGTTTCAAGCACTAGATATCATGATTCCTTCAGGTCAAAGGTCGTCGATGACCTATTTAATGAGTTCTTGGTACTTTTGCTCACCAGGTGGGGGCGCTTGAACCTGTGGATACTGCCCCTGCTGAGCTGGGTAGGCTGTATCAAAACAGGAGAAGGGGGAAATTAGGAAATGAAGTTTTAAGGATGAGACGACCAGAATAGGGTGTTATACTTTCTATGAACACATATACAGAGAGAAAGACAGCTTATAGATGTTGTGAAGATTAAAAAAAAAAGGGCTACATGGGAGAGACCACAAGCCTCGCAGTTTGATATCTGATCATTATTACTATAACTTAAAATGTTGAAAAAGACATCTCTTACCAATTTGTGGCTGGCCAGCGGGAACGTTGTAGAAGGCCGGTCCCTAAGGCTGTGTGGTAACCACCACGTGTGGTCGAGCTTGGTAGTGGATCTGTCATTATTAAGAAAAGTTATATTTCATTGGAGTGTTCTTTAATAACTTCATCGTCGTCTAATTGAATGCATCGAACTCTCTTTTCCCATCGAACTCTCTGTTTAAAGATCGATCTGTTTTTATGATTTAAGTGGCTAATTATTTTGATTTCTGAGCAAACCAAACAACAATCTTGGCCAAAATGGTTGGGACACTTCCTGAGCCTGCCACGGTCACCCACTCCCCGCTCCCCCAGTCAATGTTGTTCTCTCCAGCTGATGGAGCACTCACCGCGCAATGAGAGACAACATCGAACGGGGGCGGGGGCTTGGGGGCTCAGCGATATTTGGCCAGGATTGTAGATCCATAAGGCATTTGCTTTATTATCCGAATGTTATTTTTTTCCGTTGTAACATTAATTTAAGAAAGCGATGTGAATACACGAAAACTCTATAATACCTTTATACATTTCGTCTACTAGCTTCAGTGGTATTCCATGGCATGAAACGGCGAATAACCAGATTTTTTTGGCCAGAATAAAATGGAAGTGATTTTGAAGGAAAGCAAATCAAAGGATGAAAAGGTATGCCTATATGACCTTACTTGGTAATAACTGCAATACGTGTATACATGCCTAGGTTGGATTAGACTGCTAAATTTAAACTGGAATTTTCCTCAAAAGCATGAAACAGTCACAAGTTCTCAAAAGTCCTTAATAACTTAATCACAAGGCATCATGACCAAAGTCAAGTCACAATGAGCTGTTGTATACGACCATAAAACTGGACTTGTCAACTGAATTGTAATTTTAATACTTGATCTTGATAAAACAACAAGCAATGCAGATACAGAGGATACAACTTGGTGTTGTCACAATGCAGTACCTACCACAGTCTGAGTTGCTGATCCACCACTGCAAAGGGGACCACAGGCCATGCTGGCACCAATGATGGCGACAATAAACTCCACCATGGCGAGAAGTATCAGTGTAGCAGAAACATCATTGATGGCTGCCTGCATATAATCATTGCAAGAGATATAATGTATCAGTTACCTTCACACTTTAAGGGTATCCCACAATTCAACACATATTAAACCTAAATATTTTTGCGGTACGTAACGATCCGTCTTATGAACGTCTAGGCATTTTTGAAAATCTTATAACTTCATCATACATTTTGAAGCACAAATCGCAGTTTAGAAATACTTTAAATCAAGAAAAGCGGAGGAGACGTGATTCTCATTAATATAGTGCTTCAAGAGTGAAGCAACGACGGCAAATTCAATGAGAAACTAGAGGTTATAGGAACAACCACACAGTGTTGGGCTATCATGTTTGTAGCAATCACCACAAACTTCGCCGAACACATCAACTCAAAAAACAAAATTCGACTTTTTCAACATGCCGCTAGAGGGTGCTCTAACATTTGATGACGTCACCTGTAATATTTTTGTAAAGTACAGCTTAAGCAGAGACTGACATCGTTGAAAACAAGTTCACATCAATTTTAAATTATCAGGCACTTCCGGTTTCGACCGGAAGGAAGGGTTATCCGATTTTGCACTTAATACAAAAAAATGACGACCCCACAATATTGTATCGATTGTCATAAAAACAAAATTAAATCTCTAACTGTTGATTTTTATATTGATTTTCAGAGATTAAATCTAGAAATCTTTGCTTGCGTGTAAAATGATACTTGATGACGTCATCGTGACGTCATTACCAGAAATCTCAAGAGCTATGTTACCTATGCTATATATAGCCAAATCTTGATTGTATCTGTCGCGGTTGATTTTTCAGCAATTTCGTAAGGTTTTTAAAAGGTCTTTTTATTATAACTTCTGATCTGATGACGTCATCAATGTTTTACTCGCACCGGTGTTGTATGAAATTTTGAAGCGATTACCGCACATGTCGCTACACACATCGACTGAAAATGCGTTTTTGACAGTTTTAACCTGTCGTCACCGATATTATTTGGTAAAGTTCAACATAGGCAGAGACTAACATCGTTAAAAAACAGGTTCACATCTTTTTCCAATTTCGAATTATTGAGCACTTCCGGCTTCAACCGGAAAGAAGGGCCACGTGATTTGACGTGATGAAGATCATGTATTATCATATCAATTCCCGTAAAATTCAAATTCCGGCATCTCACGGGTGATTTCTTATTTATTTTTAAAGATTACCTGACCCATAATGACGTCATAATGACGTAATATCAACAAAGTACATCCTCAGTGGGTTGTGCATTAATGTTTTGAAAAAAAAAAATACATGATAATGCATCATGGTTGTGTTATGGTTGGGTGAACAGTGAACACGTTTCAGTCAGAGCTCCAGAAATACTCATCATTTTTGCGAATTTCCACTCCTAATTATAAGTACATTATTCATTACATTAACAAACTCCATACCTGGATATTCATGTATAAGTTCACTAACAACCTTCTTCCGCTAGTCTTCTCTTCCTTCTTCACTTCCGTTCGCGCCATACTATAGCCACTCCACGAGATCCTGCACCAATCTATATGTTCCATTCACTCGCACCTCTTATTCTGTGAACACCATTCGCTTCTTTGGTCCTTGCGTATCGAATGCTATAGATGAGCGTATCAGATGTCAGCGGTCTTTTCAAGTCTTCATACAAGCAAGCTCTTATCTGCCATTATGCATCGTAGCCCTCTCTCCTGATTAAGTCTACTGTGTTTCTGTATTCCTCACATGTTATTTTTGGGTTTTTTTTTGTTGTCTTTTTGCTCATACAGCCTTTTGCCATCTTTTCATTTTATTATTATATGTTCCTTGTCTCGTGCCAGCTTACCCATTGTAATATCTTTGTTTGTTTGTTGGGGTGTTTGATTGTTTGTTTGTCCTGTGTGTTTTTTCTGTCGGCTGTTTTCCACAAGCTTCTGCTTATTAAAACAGCCCGATGCTCTATTAACTTCTTTTATTTTGCTGTTAATTTGATATATACTGCTTTATGGTTTAACGCTTTTCTCTAAAGTTTGTATATATTTTTCTCATGAAGCTTGGAAATGAATTTACAGTTGAAATGAATTGAATTCATATATGTTTTCATTTTGACAAACAGTTCTGAGGAAGAATTTTTCATGAAGAGTACAAATTAGAAGAATAGTAAATTCTTACAATGTTGGGCTGAAAGCCTAACACCTAATAGGCCTATACAGGTGTAAAAAAGATGAAGATAGAAACCCCCTGAGGCAGAAGCAAGAATACGTTTTCATTATAAGGAGGTTAAAGTTCTACTTACCTTCAAATCACAGTGTGAACGAGGATCGTCATAGACGGCCACGAAGACGGCCACGACGCGGCCATAATAATTATAAAGATAACGCGTAATTAAACGCGGATAGCAGTGTTCATTGATGAATGACATCCTGGCAGCACCAAAACCAATGACGCAGCACGTCGCCAAACAAGCCAAGATGGACATGACCATGTAGCCGACAGCCTGTGCAGAAAAACACACAATTTATTCAAACTCTTTAAAAAAAATCTTGATGTAGGCTACATCGCTGGAAGTGGTCCAATATTCGCTAAATGGTTCTATGTTAATATTGAGGCCATAATTATCTGCAAATAACATAGTAGGATTCTACTTATTGGTTACTCTTCCCATTTTGAACATTTTCCATTTCAAGGAAGCAACAACTGAGCACCATGATACTGCCGAGTATTAAAGAAACCCTTAACAATGGCTTACCCATCCAGAATGCTTCTTAGATCCAGACACTATTCCACAGATTCCAGCGAAGCCATAGAACTGTAAAAACATTCAAGGCTGAAATTTAAGGAAGGCTACATGCTTCATTTTGAATGTACATGTGTAGCAGATGTTTATACGAACCCAACCATCATTGGCAAGATATTGAAAAACTTAAACAAGATATGTGGACACAAAATGGAAGTGTCAAAAACATAACGTATCATTGTACACGTAAAACAAAACAAAAAACACACCGTAAACCTCGTAAGCTATGTGAAAAGTGAGAAATAAATTTTGTGAGGTGGAAATATTCCGCCCAATTCATTTTCCTCTCTCCACACAACTCTTTCCTTTTAAAACGACTGCACCTAGCTAAAAGAGTCAATAGGCATCAGAACTTACACAAGAAACAAAGAAAAAAAACAAATCGGTACTGTTTTAAAAAAAAAAAAAATTCGCATACAAATTCCCCAAAAATAAGTCCACCCTCCCCCCCCCCCCCGGCTGTGACACCCCCCAAAAAATTATACTGGTATAGTATCCGCCTGTTCAAATTACCTTACCCATTCTGTAATCTAGTGTTGATAATCGTGGAATTTGAACAGCGCCCCTATTGAAATATGGTACCAGCTCCCCCCCCCCCCCCCCCCCCCCCCAGTTTATATTTTACGGAGGCCACATGTCCGGAGAAAAAAACCTGTGTACATTTTCCGATTTTTTTGGCTAATGAACCCCCCCTCCGCGAAAATTCCTGGATCCGCCCCTGGTCAATACACAAGAATGGCATGGAATTCGGGAGTATTGTTTCATACTTACTACGATACCACACCAAAGTGGGGATGCAATATCACTGCTATCGTTCACACGGTTAAATGCTGAAAGGGTGACAATCCCCAGAATGACGGTCAAGGAACCCAAAACCACTTGAATTATTCCTGTCCATAGAATACCCTTCCAGTTACCACTTCGAGGCTGTGGGTTGACCGTGCCGAAAGTAACGCCGGCAGCGGGTTGCACCGTCACCTGGTGAATGATACGGAAATGTTCGGGTCGAGTGGCAATGATAAAAACTGAGAGTTTTGATATCAAGTCTAGCCTCAGAAGCATCACGTCAGTCCGCGCGTTAGAGCGCGTGATACTGTGGGGCAACCAATCGGCATGCGCGTCCTGCATGTACACTAGGCTGATGGGCATGTCTGGCTATTAATTATTCAGGCATGTACCGCGTGAACAAGGGCGTGATATCGCGCAGCGACCAATCAGCAGCGTGCATCCGGCTTGGTCTGGGGCGATTGCCTCGTGGCCTGGCGTGGGATCGGCACTGCTGTGAGAGACTTCAACGAGTAAATTCCTGGGAGTGACCGCGTTGTGTCGTGCAATCTCGTGAGCTGACAGCGTTTACTGGGTTACCGTGGTTGGACCGGAGCGGGAGAAAGCCCCATCGCGCCTTGTGTGATCGGTCAGTAAAGCTGGACTTCGTTGTTTACATCCCCCTGTGCAGTTTAAGGTCTTATCGGATATGATTTGGGGTGGATTGTTGTTAAGAAGTCTGGATATTTCAGATATAGGGCCTGAGTTAAGATAATAGTCGGACCCGGAGTAAATCTGAAGGTTGGGGAACAGTTAGGCTTACTTCAGACTTAAGGATTGTCTTCCGTTGTTTGTGCCATTACGCGTAGCTGCGGTATAGCTGCCCTGTGAGTCCGTAGGCTTGTTTTCCCATTGAGGAAGAAGTGTAGCTAAGACTGTTCGGAAGGTCTGTCTGCCGTTGATCTATGCCAATTGGCGTGGCTGCGGTTGATGCGGACTTGGACAACTGAGCTCGCTTTTCCTGCCGGGGAACCTGCTTAATCGTGACTTGTGGAGGGAATCGTGACTTGATTGCGGCCCTGTAAAGTCCGTGAATCCTGAGTTTCCCGAAGGTTTACTGGGGGTTAACGTTCAGAGGGCTATTATTATCGTCCGGTGGGTCATAGAAACGTTACTAAGTATCCCGTGTGTGTAATTCGCTGGTACGGTCAAGCCAGTAGCAAGGATTGTGTTCTATTGTATAAATCTATTCTGTTATTTGTAGACCTCATTGGGGTCATTTGTGCTAAGTGAAAGAACACTAGCCCGTTATTTAAGTCAGTGGTGCAGACGACCACTTTCTGATAAACTAGAAACCTCAAGTCTAGGTGAGGTATACCCAAGTGAGGTTTACCTTAAGTGAATTACCCCGCTAAGCTGTGAGTTATAATTGTGCAAGTTAATCATAAGGGAGTGCAGTTGACCCCTGTTGAACCAGACGATTATAATTGCATAAGCTAATAAAGGGTGCAGTTGACCCAAGAGCCGTACGAAGATTATAATTGTATAAGTTAATGACAAGGGGTGCAGTTGACCCTTCAGCTAACAGCGAGGTTTACTAGTGTTCATTATCACAGCGAGGTTTACTACTGCTTATTCTAATAGCGAGGTTTACTAGTGTTCATTATCACAGCGAGGTTTACTAGTGCTTATTATCACAGCGAGGTTTACTAGATTATCACAGTGAGGTTTACTAGTGCTTATTCTAAGAGGGAGGTTTACTAGTGCTTATTCTAAGAGCGAGGTTTACTAGTGCTTGTTTTAAGAACGAGGTTTATCAGTGTTAATTCGAACACCGAGGTTTACCTGGATTCATCAGATCTGTGAGGTTCATCGTTGTATAAATTATTGAATGGTGACGCATTGACATTATATTTGAAGTGTGCTAAAGGAATAAACTAGCTGATTAACATCTTGGAATAACTGGTCACTGTGAAGCTTATGTAGTCCCGCTCTCTGTTGGATATATCTGAATAAGTTAGTCCCCTCTTTTGTCAATAAAGTCAAATACTTAATTAATCGCAGATCGGTGGTATATTTCCGCCAAACGAACAGCCCCTAGGCTTAGTCCGCCGTTCGTTAACTATATCCCCCCTTGCGTCAGGCCAGGTAACCGCTCATCCTTGTGCGAGGTTTATAAATATTTTTGTGGGTTAGGCGAGCCCTCAAATTAGAATCCCTCCCCGGACCGTTCGGGGTTGAGCCCGCCCAGTATGTTGAAGGGATTGGGACCTTGCATGGAACCGATCGGCCTGGATTAACTCCACCTGGCTTCTGCACCATGGCTCTGGCTCATCACAAAGGAACCAATTTGCGACGCGCTCATCCTCAAGCAGGCAACAATGACTGTGATGAGCTTCATAGAAGTTGCCGCTGGTAATCCCAGTGGGCCGAATAATCCTCCAACATGGCTAGGCTTCAATTTATGTTGCCTATTGTGAAACCATGAGTCACCAGGTTGGACCGATTGGGGCGTCACGCTTCAGTGACCGGGTGGCTTCTGGCTTCGTACCGATTGGGGTGAAAGAAATTAGCATACCGGACCCAGTACCCGAACGGTCGTTATCTGATGGCTCGCCTTAAGGCCAGGTCTAATTACATTCTTCGATCGGGTCAGACTGTCGGGTCACCTAGTTATTCCCGCCACGAAGGGTGTATAGCTCGTTTCGCCACAATAGTATCATCGACACTGATGACAGAATGGCCAGTTTCGCCAAGGCAAATTGGGCCAATTTTACATTTTAATTAATCAATAGCTTGGCGCTCGTAGATAATGAAAATATATTTGAAGCGTGATTTTAGATCAGAGTAATTAACTAAAAGTGGCACAAAAAGGGCGGAGGGGGCGGGGCCACCACCACCATTCATGTACATTTTCGCTGATATCGTCACAATGCACTTTTTAAATCGTGCCGAGTTTCCCTGACATGTTTGCTGATGTCTTGCATTTATTTGACACCAATTTTATGAAAACAGGGCACACTAAGCTTCGTTGCAAACTGTCCATTTTCAAAAACAGGTAGGCCTAAGAGAGTGCCGACTAACACATCGAATTGAAACTTCACATGTACTACAAAATTAAGGAGGAGAAAATAAAACCAGTTTTTATTGATGTCTTGGCAGTTGTAGAAAATGAAAAAGTATCTTAAGGCCAAAAAAAAAATACTCGGTCTCGAGTCAGCGCGCGCGTCGATGTTAATCATGCGCGTCAACCTTTTTTCCCCTTCAAGTTAACCCAGAAGCTACAACAACGACCTCTATTGCCGCACCTCCTCAAATATTTGTACCAAGGAGCACCAAAGAATGAGGAAATTGCACCAAGGCAAATGATAAAGGGCACCAAGGCAAATTATGGAGGACCCCAATGTGTAATGAGGACACATAAAAACAAAATAGTACCTACCTTGAGTGTACAATTCAAAATTTGAAGAAAAAAAACCACCAAAAAAATAAAAAATAAAATAAGGCCAAAAAAAAATTCTGTCTCTGGTCAGACCAAAGTTCCAGAATTGACGCGGGGACGCGTTTTTTTTTTGATTTTTTTTTTCTTCAAGCTTGGATTGTACAGACAAGGTGGGGTACTATTTTGCTTTTTTGGTGTCCTCGTGTACACTGGTGTCCTCCATAATTTGCCTTGTGCTCTCGATCATTTGCCTTGGTGCAATTTCCTATTCTTTGTTGCTCTTTGGTAAAAAAAAAAATGAGCAGGTGCGGCAATAGAGGGCGCTGTTGGAGCTACCGCGGAACATTTTGGAAAAAAAAAAATTGACGCGCATGATTAAAATCGACGCGCGCGCTGATCAGAGACCGACTTATTTTTTTTTTGGCCTAAACCGCGTCGCCGCATCAATTCCGGAACTTCGGTCTGACCAGAGACCGACAATTTTTTTTTTTTTTTTTGGCCTAAAAGTGAAGCGAAATTGGAATTCGATCTATTTGTCGGCACTCTTATGCACACATGTAAATGTACATTATCGATCCTGGGTCTCCCGCCACGCCTTGAGAACAATTTGTTTATCCCCCGGAAACAGCAGCGAGACACTTTCTGACGAACTTGGCCGCACTCGGGTTTCGTTGGGCTGAAACTAGTGATAGGTTTCGTTTTTCTTTTTCTTGTTACCCTTTTTTTCTTTACTGTGTTGGCAAATAATGCATTACCTGGTTTTAGCTCATATTTTTCGTTATCATCAAACATACATTCACACAATACTCGAAGTGCTTCTAGAAAAAATATCCATGTTTGTTACAGTCGAACGACCTTGTTTAAAAACAATCTTATTCAACGTGGTGCAAATTACTGGAACAGTCTTAGTGAATCTATGAAAAAATCACCATCACAGGCTATATTTGTCAAAAACTAAGAAAACAACTTCTTGATGCATATTTATAAATGTAATGTGTAAATTATCTCGTATTGTTATGTCTTAGTACCTGCATGCACACTCATTTGTTGTTGTAGTCCTTTGTCCTGTCTGTCCCATTGTCTGTCCCTAGGTTAGTGTACAAAAGCATTTTTGCTTCACCAAAACTTAAATGTTGTTCTTTGTGTAATAATTTGATATTAAACTTAACCTGTAATATTGTATTAACTTATTGTAAACACTGTAGCCTTCATCCAAGGACAGCATCGAAATAAATGTACTACTACTTCTACTACTACGTGTTTGAGCGGGAAAAAAAAACCCAAAAAACAAATTGTCGTATAGTTTTTAGTTGTTTGTGTTTCAGTAGAATAAAATGAAACAAATACGAGTGTGCTGTGATATTTTTTTATCTGTATACAGAGGACAAGGATTTTTTATTTTGTTTTTAGGAATACGCATCAAAAAAGGAATGCTGTAACTCGATGCGTTGTCCCTTTTTCGAAAGACAGACCCCAAAACGGTGTCCTGTAAAGGCTTTGCTTTTTCTTTGTTTTTTATTGTCCCAGCCACGTGTTAGCCATGCCCAGGTCATCTATCGCTAGATCCTAGTATGGACCATGGTTCATCCACTAGAGGGGGTGTAAGTCTTGTGATCCTACTGGAGGGGTTGGAAATTGGCGGGAAAACCTAATGTGCTTGTGCGCATTTACATAGGCTTGTGTACAAATGCATTGTTCACATAGGGATTACCTCGACCACCCCTGTGGCAAAAATGGAACTGTCAAATGGCATTGAGGAGGTTAGTGTCTGGTTTTATTGACTGTTTATAGGGCCTGAGTGATACCAGGGGTTAATCTGGGTGAATGGTGGACTTTGAGGGCCGGGTAGCTCAAATTACATTGTGTCATGGATTGATTCCATGCAGCCGTCTAATATCACAGCGCCAAAAATTAGCACGCGAAGGGTTAAAATTCAAAAAAGGGTGTACGGTTAATGGTTTGCTTTTCCTTTTTTCTTTTTAAGATTCTAAAACGGTAACTGGTAAAGGGTGGGTTTGCTGGGTTTTTTTAATTCAAAAACGGTTACTGGTAAAAGGTTTGCTTTTTCCTTTTTTTAAATTTCAATTCTCAATTAAAAAGACAGAAATGGGTAAAGGGTTTGCTTTTTAATTTTTTTAACAGATTCAAAAAGCGGTAAAATGTAAAACAAGTTTTTTTTCTGTTTCCGTTTTTTTAGACGCATAAACGGTAACTGGTAATCGATTTGCTTTTTCTGTTTCCACACCAAGATTATAATAGGGTAAACGGTAAAGGTTTTTTTTTTTTTTTTTTTTTTTTTTTGACAATTTTCAAACGGTAATTGATTGGACGGTATGTACACAGATCATTATCAAGATGGGAAAGTTACATCTAGACACCTGTTTTGGAAAATAGACATTTTGCGATGAAGGTAAGGTTTGCCCTATTTTCCAAAAAATGTGTGTCAAAATAACTGCAAGACACCAGCAAACCTGTCAGGGAAACTTGACACAATTTATAAAAGTGCATTGCGAAGATATAAGCAAAAATATACGCAAAAATATACATGGAAGTGGGTAGCGAGCCCGCCCCCTCCCCGAATTTGGCGCCGCTCTTATTTAATTAGTCTGATCTAACATCACTCAAAAATTATATTTCAATTATCTTCAAGTGCCAAGCTGTCAAACGAAACTGATTTCGTTCTTGTTTTCACAATGTTAAGTAAATGTAAAATTGGCCCCATTTGGCATGGCGACAATGAGCATCGGTCTGATCTAGCGAAGCTTAAGACTTGCCATTCTGTGATCAAGGTCGATGATACTATGCCTTGGACCATAAGGGGATTTTTGTTAAACCCTATCCAGCTCTCAGCCTAATATGCTAGGTATTTATTGGGTAGTAGTGTGGAGTGATGAAAAAGATGAAATGAATTTGTGATACTTTGTAGAACAAACTCAACGCCATAATGGCATATTGCATACCGGTGATTGATGTAATGTAGGCCTAAACCAACAAATTACGAACACCAACAACTACGAGAGAATAATTTGCCTTGTAGGCCTACACTCGACAGGCGTACAACAAGTACAGAACGTGTCGTACAGGTAAATATGATGTTCTTTCTCATTCTGACATTACCATATGAATAAAGGCACTACGCACATGACATTGCAAATACCAGTAGTAAACTTTACTGGTGTGTGTGTAGTCAAGTGTGAAAGCCAGTCATGTTCAGTTGACCTGTACAAACTGGTACAAGGTAGGCAAAATGGCGACGGTGCATTGACGGAATCTTTTACCCAACCCGAGCAAACAGAAAGTAAAATCACCATTGATTTCTAAATTACACATTTTCTCACAGATCCAATTGTCAATAAAGCAATCATAGAAATGAGCAGCTATTACCCAGTCTGCTGCATTAGTCTTAATTTCACTTTTAGCCAAAACTGAACAGTCTAATTCCCGAAGTGGTCACGGACTTACCAGTTGTTGCTGGCCGACGGGCTGAGGCGCAGCCACGTAGGCCGGTGGGGCGTTGGTAGGGGTCATCATTGTGACAGAAAGTATCTCTGGAATCTGTTAATCCAATCAATTAATCCATAATTAGTCAGGCGGTCGATCGGTTCAATTCATCCATATTTTCACATATTTTATAAAAGTGAGATAAGGTCTGAGTGTTAATACATTTATACTTCTGATTTTTCAAGTTCACATAGTTTCGCAAATGCTCCATGGGACATCTTCTGGAAAAACCTGTCTCACTCTCTCAAGGCGCCAATAAGCACTTGCTTTTCTTGCCATAGTAATGATAAACATTATTATAGGACATTTAAAAGTGATTTAAGCGAAAAAACAAACGCAATCGTTTCAGTACCTTTCGCTGGATAGAGTGTTCTTGTTTCCTAAAACGGCGTCACTGACGGAAACGGCGTTCTAAAGACCTACACACAGCGCATACAGACTGGGTTTGTCCATATATCGTACAAGGGAAAGAAAAGACACTCTGCTGAAAAAAGTAAAACAGGAAGTAGTTTTTCGTTTGAAAGGGCGCCACCACATTACTGGTAGGTGTAAAGTAAATTTGCTCCAGTCACTGAACGCGAGGTGTGCAAGTTAGTTGTGCAAAGCCACTAAATCCCCCCTTTCATGTCAATCATGGAGATATGTAACATCATAAATCTGTTTTTTCCCTGATTTAGTACCACTCAGGTGCTTCAGGGGGAAATGCTTAGGTACCTCATTTTGAGACAGTGTACAGTATTGTGCTGTGAATGAGCTGACTGTATTGTAAATAGGCATGGGCTTCAATTGGTGGGGGACGGGGGGTTGGACATGTGCCCGGACATGTGCCCCCCCCACCCCCCCAACCCCCACCCCCTCACACACGCACTTTTAAAGTGTGAGGGGTATCGTATCGTTTGTCCCCCCCCCCCTGTACACTTTTTTCGTCAACGGATACAAATTGTAGCCCATATTTCATTCTGTAGTTCAGAATAGCTGATTCAATGACTCCACACTCGAAAATAATGTATAAATGACGATCTCTTGCTCAAAAACAAATTGGTTAAAATGGTCAGAAATCGCCTCAGATCGCACCACAAAAGAATTTCCGGGCCCTTCAGCAGGCCCCGGACCCCATCACCCAAGGCCATAAGGGCTTCGCACTTGCATTAGTTCTGATCAAGGTATTTACCCCCATTTTTGAGAAGCGATTGACGCTCTGGTACCTGTAAACAGGAATCAGAGATGGGAGTAGTATGAATAATTCTCCCCCAGATCTTGCACTTTACATCATGTCGACATTGTTTATGGCTTTTTGTCCACATGCTTTTTCAAGTAAACAATACAACAGTATGTTAATTAATTCATTGTTCATTTGTTCATTGATTTTTTTTTATTGATGACTGTTGAGTTTTTTATATTTCTAAGAATTTGTGCGAATTTAATAATTGTTACTCTTATTGTTGAAAGAGAACAATACAAGCATTCTATTCATGTTATAATCAGTTCGAATTTGAAACTGATTGTATAAAATGTGAAATATTATTGAGAACAAAATTACTTGGAAAGTGTTATTTTGTATTGGACTGTCTGAAGTAGCAGTAATGAGTAGACCTACTACTACAACAGAACAAACAATTGACAGAAATAAGATGGGATTTTTGCGTCGGGGTGATGTAAATCAAATTACGTTTTGCCCTTCACCGACGTATAGACACTGTATACTAAGTGTCTTACCTCCCGAGTGAAGGTTGGGAAAAAAAACACTCAGGTGGGTTCGAACCCACGACCTCCTGCTTTCTAGTGCAGATGTCTTACCTCTCCACTATCGTGCTAACGGGATCGGTTGGTTGGTTCGAATCTATTGTACATAGCAGCGGGTACCGCATTAATTATTAATAAGATGGGATTTTTTGTTTTTGTTTGCAAACAATGCAATTAAATCAAATCAAACACGTTACTAAGTGTTACTATTTCACTGACACGTCAACTTTTGTCCGCACTTTATTCATGTATTCGGTCATTCATTTATTCTTTTATTCGTCTCTTCACTTTGTCATCTCTTGAAAATCATCACTGAAAATGCCTCTTGCCTTTTACACACAATATTATCTATTTCTCGTGTTGATTCTCCGTAGCCCCTCACACGTTTACCTACCCAACGCTAGTGATGCCCGTCCCCATAGACCAATTTGGTGACATCATAGAGTTTCATCAAGTGCATATAATATGTGGTTTGTCAAACAAAATTAAGGGTACCACCGCGTCATATTCTAAATAAAGCAATCGCTTAGTGGCATTAAAAGTGCCTCGACTTCACAGTGGTACTGAAGGCCTTTTCCCTCAACTGTGTACGAGATCTCATTGTATACATTATTGCAAAACCCGTGACCCAAAGTGAGTACACGAACTACACTTCCGTGAGCGCACCAATCGTCAACCATGCACAAGAAATGCACGTAGTTGTGTAGGCCTATTTCAAGTGACTTCACCACAATACTTTTCGACGCCTTCGTTTCCTTCAACAGTTTTTATTCATGACCGAGTAGCCGGGTGTGTGCTTGGAGCCGGGGGAATGTGCCCCAACAAATTCCCAGTGCCCGCATCCCCCACAAAACAAAAAAAACCGTTGAGGCAAATGGGAATTCAAGCATTCTCTTTATTTTAAATGTTTCATAATAAGGTCTGCACTACGAACTTTACTATTAAAAAAAATCCATTAAGTTTAAAGACAAGTGAACGTGATATCCTGACTATTTATTTTTTAATCCCTTTTCCAAATGTGGTTTCTTAACACTTAAGGACGTTGTTGTATAGAAAGCATCCCTGAAATGGGAATACGTTTTAGCAGCATAAAATATAACTAAATGTTCAGCCCTTACGGCAGTTCTGTTCCAAACAGTGTAGGATAACATTTTAAAATTCTGGTCATTGTTGTATGGAAAGCATCCAAGATATGAAATCAATGGAACGGAGTTTTTAGCAGCATGACCAAACACAAACACAGCTGAAGGTCCACCCCCGGTACGGGAAGTTCTGATGCAAACAAAATTGACAGACATGTTATCAAACAATAATAACTCATAATAACAATTACAAAAAAACGTTCAAACATCACCTTCTCATAGGGACATATCATTTGCTCATTGATACATTAGCAAAACCAAAGTGAGTACTGTGTACATATAAATGACAAATCTGAGTAGTACTGACTAATATAATATGTGTGAATTACAAAGCTTAGACATCTCTTTTAAGAAGAAAACAAATAAGTGTGTAACTTACGCCAAGTGCTGTTGAAGTCAACGGACGGGGTTTAAAAAGTCACAGCGGCTATATCAAGTCAGCAATCTTGAATTCTTTTTTTAAATTTGTTTTTGCTGTGAATGCAAGAAAGCTAATGTGGGCTATTCCATCAATACCAGCTTGATCAACGAATGGATCTAATTCGGAGAAGCAGCTCGTCATGCGTTGTACAGAGAGCTGTTTTTATATTTCATTATCATACAGATTCCCCAGGTGAAACATAACACCGAAACCCCTTCCAATTTGAAAACTAAGGCAATAAATTCCATATCTAGAACCTCAAACAATTTAACATAAACTCAATTTTCTAAATTATACGACTCCCTGTTATGCTCAGCGTGGAATGGGAGAAATATTATCGCAAGGTAAAATCTGGACTTTTCCATTTCACGAGGCGAAGCCGAGTGAACTGGAAATAGTATTTCCCATTCCCCATTGGCGGATAGTATACTTTTTGAGCCCGGGCGTGAATGGGGGCCATAACGAATGTCACGTGATGGGAGTTCCTCCAATCAAAGGACAAGGATTTGTATGTCGGTTATATAAAAGCTTATATTGGTCACACCTTTATTTGTAAAGCGGTGAACCTGCTGTTGGTTAAGGCTAAATTTGGCTCCGGAGCAATTTCGAATGCACAAAACAAACAGAAAGACACTGCCTTTGGCGTTCAGTGATGGACGTCTTTGAAAACGCAGCAATTAAATACAACAAAACTAACTAGTATTTTAGTCAGAAACGCAAAACATGCCCCGAATGTCTACAGCCGAGGCTGTGATTTTGGGAATGGCCCATTTTTAGTTTATTTAATATATACATTATGCATAATGTTACAACAGCTATTGAGTAAATATCTGAATAGGCCTATATTATACTTTTTTTCATTAACTGCTTGATTCAAATTAAGCATCTCCAACATTCTAACTTTCATTTGAGAAAAAAAATATTCTAAAATGGAGCCAGAGTAACATATCGCTTTACCTCCGAACCTATTTCTTGACGCGTGACTGCTAAAAGCTTAATGTGCATTCATATAAAGTTTACATGAACAAGCCAAAACTTAAATTCCGTTTTAAGCCCTAGATGATTCCATCAGGTCAAAGGTCATCGATGACCTATTTAATGAGTTCTTGGTACTGTTGCTCACCGGTTGGGGGCGCTTGAGTCTGCGGATACTGCACGTGCTGGGCTGGGTTAGCTGCATCAAAACAGGAGAAAGGGTGAATGAAGTGTTAAGGATGAGACAGTGTGGTTAATGTACACATCACCGTAATGTAACAGCAGCTTTTCAGTAAATATCTCAAAGTACACTTTTTTTCATTTAATATACTTTACATCAATTAAACATCTCCCACATTTCTCTTTTATCGGAAAGTTATTGTGAAATGGAGCCAGGGCAACATATTGTTTTGCCTCTTAACCTGATTCTCGACGCGTGAGTTCTATAAAAGCTAAATGAACATCCACATATACCGTTAACAAGCAAAATTCAAGACTTTAAATTCTGTTTCAAGCACTAGATATCATAATTCCTTCAGGTCAAAGGTCATCGCTGACCTATTTAATGAGTTCTTGGTACTGTTGCTCACCGGTTGGGGGCGCTTGAGCCTGCGGATACTGCACCTGCTGGGCTGGGTAAGCTGCATCAAAACAGGAAAAAGGGTGAATGAAGTTTTAAGGATGAGACAGTATATTTGAGTAAATATTTTAGTACACCTTTTTTCATTTAATATACTTTACATCAATTAAACATCTCCCAAATTTCTCTTTTATCGGAAAGTTAGTATGAAAGGGAACCAGGGCAACATATTGTTTTGCCTCTTAACCTGATTCTCGACGCGTGAGTTCTATGTACATCCACATATACAGTTAACAAGCAAAAGTCAAGACTTAAAATTCTGTTTCAAGTACTAGATATCATGATTCCTTCAGGTCAAAGGTCATCGATGACCTATTTAATGAGTTCTTGGTACTATTGCTCACCAGGTGGGGGCGCTTGAGCCTGCGGATACTGCCCCTGCTGAGCTGGGTAGGCTGTATCAAAACAGGAGAAGGGGAAATTAGGAAATGCAATTTTAAGGATGAGACGACCAGAGAAGGGTGTTATACTTTCTATGAACACATATACAGAGGAAAAGACAGCTTAAAGATGTTGTGAAGAATTTAAAAAAAAAGGCTACATGGGAGAGACCACAAGCTTCGCAGTTTGATATCTGATCATTATTACTATAACTTAAAATGTTGAAAAAGACATCTCTTACCAATTTGTGGCTGGCCAGAGGGAACGTTGTAGAAGGCCGGGCCATGGGGCTGTGTGGTAACCACCATGTGTGGTCGAGCTTGGTAGTGGATCTGTCATTATCAAGAAAAGTTGTGTTTCATTGGAGTGTTTCTTCAACTACATCGTCGTCTAATTGAATGCATTGCCTATCATGGCGATACCTTGCAAACGTACGCGTAATTGTCGCTGATCCCATATCTGAACATTCTTTTCCAATCGAACTCTCTGTTTATGATCGATCTGGTTTTTTTATGATTTAAGTGGCTAATTATTCTTGATTTCTGAGCAAATCTACAATCCCGGCCAAAATGGTTGGGACACTTCCTGAGCCTGCCACGGTCACCCACTCCCCCGCTCCCCCGGTCAATGTTGTTCTCTACAGCTGATGGAGCACACACCGCGCAATGAGAGACAACATTGAACGGGGGCCGGGGGCTTGGGGGCTCAGCGAGATTTGGCCAGGACTGTAGATCCATAGGGCATTTGCTTTATTATCCAAATATTGTTTTTTCCGTTGTAACATTAATTTAAGAAAGCGATGTGAATACACGAAAACTCTATTATACCTTTATACATTTCGTCTACTAGCTTCAGTGGTATTCCATGGCATGAAACGGCGAATAACTAGTTTTTTTTTGCCAGAATAAAATGGAAGTGCTTTCGAAGGAAAGCAAATCAAAGGATGAAAAGGTATGCCTATATGACCTTACGTGGTAATAACTGCAATACGTGTATACATGCCTAGGTTAGATTTGACTGCTAAATTTAAACTGGAATTTACCTCAAAAGCATGAAAACTCCTTTTATACAACAGTCACAAGTTCTCAAAAGTCCTTAATAACTTAATCACAAGGCATCATGACAAAGTCAAGTCACAATGAGCTGTTGTATACACCCATAAAACTGGACTTGTCAACTGAATTGTAAATTACTTGATCTTGATAAAACAACAAGCAATGCAGATACAGAGGATACAACTTGGTGTTGTCCAATGCGGTACCTACCACAGTCTGAGTTGCTGATCCACCGTTGCAAAGGGGACCGCAGGTCATGCTGGCACCAACGATGGCGACAACAAACTCCGCTACGGCGAGAAGTATCAGTGTAGCATAAACACCATTGACAGCCGCCTGCATAGAATCATTGCAAGAGATATAATGTATCAGTTACCTTCACTTTAAGGGTATCCCACAATTCAACACATATTAAACCCAAATATTTTTTGCGGTACGTAACGATCCGTCTTGTGAACGTCTAGGCAATTTTGAAAATCTTATAACTTCATCATACATGTTGAAGCACAAATCGCAGTTTAGAAATACTTTAAATCAAGAAAAGCGGAGGAGACGTGATTCTCATTATATTGTGCTTCAAGAGTGAAGCAACGACGGCAACTTCAATGAGAAACTAGAGGTTATAGGAACAACCACACGGTGTTGGGCTTTCATGTTTGTAGCAATTACCACAAACTTCGCCGAACACATCAACTCAAAATACCAAAATTCGACTTTTTCAACATGCCGCTAGAGGGTGCTCCAACATTTGATGACGTCACCTGTAATATTTTTGTAAAGTACAGCCTAAGCAGAGACTCACATCGTTGAAAGCAAGTTCACATCAATTTTAAATTTTCAGGCACTTCCGGTTTCGACCGGAAGGAAGAGTTATCTGATTTTGCACTTAATACAAAAAATGACGACCCCACAATATTGTATCGATTGTCATAAAAACAAAATTAAATCTTTAACAGTTGATTTTCATATATATTTTGAGAGATTAAATCTAGAAATATTTGCTTGCTTGTAAAATGATACTTGATGACGTCATCGTGACGTCATTACCAGAAATCTCAAGAGCTATGTTACCTGTGCTATATATAGCCAAATCCCATTATGTATCGTAGCCTTCTCTCCTGATTAAGTCTACTGCGTTTCTGTATTCCTCACATGTTATTTTTGTTGTTGTTTTTTTGGTCTTTTTTGCTCAAACAGCCTTTTGCCATCTTTTCATTTTATTATTATATGTTCCTTGTCTCGTGCCAGCTTACGTATTGTAATGTCTTTGATTGTTTGTTGGGGTGTTTGCTTGTTTGTTTGTCCTGTGTTTTTTTCTGTCGGCTGTTTTCCACAAGCTTCTGCTTATTAAAACAGCCCGATGCTCTAGTAACTTCTTTTATTTTGCTGTTAATTTGATATTTACTGCTTTATGGTTTAACCCTTTTCTCTAAAGTTTTCTATATATTTTTTTTCATGAAGCATGGAAATAAATATGTAGTTGAATTGAATTGAATCGATAGTTCATTTATGTTTTCATTTTGACAAACAGTTCTGGAGAAGAATTTGTCATGAAGAATAAAAATGAGAAGAATGGTAAATTCTTACAATGTTGGGCTGAAGGCCAAACACCTATATAGGTGTTAAAAAGCAGAAGAAGAGATAACCCCCTGAGGCAGTAACAAGAATACGTTTTTCATTATAAGGAGGTTAAAGTTCTACTCACTTTCAAATCACAGTATGGAGGAGGATTGTCATAGACGGTCACGACGCGGCCATAATAATTATAACGATAACGCGTGATAACGCGGATAGCGGATAGTGTCATTGATGTATGCCATCCTGGCAGCACCAAAACCAATGACGCAGCACGTCGCCAAACAAGCCAAGATGGACATGACCATTAGCCGATAGCCTGTGCAGAAAAAAAAACACAATTTATTCAAACTCTTTAAAAAATGTTCAGGCCATAGTTATCTGCAAATAACATAGTAGGATTCTACTTATTGGTTACTCTTCCCATTTTGAACATTTTCCACTCCAGGATCCGAAGCAACAACTGAGCACCATTATACTGCCGAGTATTAAAGAAACCCGTAACAATGGCTTACCGATCCAGAATTCTTCGTAGATCCAGACACTATTCCACAGATTCCAGCGAAGACATAGAACTGTAAAAACATTCAAGGCTGACATTTAAGGAAGGCTGCATGGCTTCATTTAGAATGTACATGTGCAGCAGATGTATATACTAAATCCAACCACTTGATCATTGGCAAGATATTGGAAAACTTTAGTTTTCTATGTGGACACCAAAATGGAAATGTCAAAAACATAACGTATCATTGTAC